AAAATGCTGAAATCAAATCAAATCAAATCAAATTTAATCCCTTACCCTCCTGAAGCACCCTTGGAGCCCCAGGAATTAGAGCTCCGGGGTTCTGTGAAAAAGGATTTTTGTGTTAATTTTAAATACATGTGAAAGAATCAGTCTAAAACTTAAGATGCTTTTCCCTATCACCCTGTATATAAGAATCAAACCTTTTGCTACAATTACACTTCTGGCGGCCCTTCTAAATCCAGTAATGTCCCCCTTGCGGCTGCCATTGCGAATATTTTTGGTTTGTGGAGATCACGCCTGAGCCTTTAGTGGCTGGGGTTTAGCATCCTAGCTAAAAGATTTTTTAAAGATAAGTATGCATGTGATGATTTTGATAATAATTGTATTAATCATGATACCTTGCTTGCTTCAATGTATGCAGAGGAAAATTAATAAAGCCATTAAAGGAGTGGTTTTGGTTGAAAAGAGAAGGGAGAGATGATGTACTTCGGACCTGATTAGCGTAAGAGATCTGATAATTAGGATGCCTTGGCAAGAACAAACAGATCTTTGAAGACTGAATCAAGACTGGCTGACAGGAAAAGAATCAACTTCTGCAAGCAAGAGATGTTGCAAAATATATAATTTTGTTTATGTGATGAATAATGCAATCATTGCAGTAAATAATTACTAGCCTTCCTAGAATAGTATATAAGCATACGTAGTCCACAATAAATTCGGATTCCGATCAACAGTCTCCTCGTCTCTCTCCATTGCCGATAGCGCTGAACTGGGGAGTACTATTCCTAAACCACAACACAGTGGCATAAGTGAAATGTGGTGGGATGAGTCCTGTGACTGGAGTGCCATGTTGGACGGTTGCAGGCTCTTCAGGGGGAATAGGCAGGGCAGGCAAGGTGGGGAATGGCACTGTATGCAATGGACAGGTGAATGTAGGGAGCTTGCAGTTGGCAATAGCATGGTTGAGAACCTCTGGGCAAGGATTAAGGGACAATCAAATAATGTGGATGTCATCAAGGGAATCTACTACAGACTACACAGCCAGGACAATGACACCAATCATACAATCATAGAATGTTAAGGGGTTGGAATGGACATTAAAAATCCTTTAGTCTCAACCTCCCCTTCCATGGGCAGGGACACCTCCCACTAGACCAGGTGGCTCGAGGCCTTATCCAGCCTGGCTTTGAACACTGCCAGGGTTGGGGCATCCACAACCTCTCTGGGCAACCTGTTCCAGTCTCACCACCTTCACAGTAAAAAATTTCTTTTTGAAATCCAGTCTAAACTTCCCCTTTCAATTTGTACCCATTGTTCCTTGTCCAATCATTACAGTTCCTGACAAAGAGTCCCTCTTTGGCTTCCCTGTAGCCCCTTTCAGATACTGGAAGTTTGCTATGACGTCTCCCCACAACCTTCTCCAGGTTTAACAGCCCCAACTTTTTCAGCCTGTCTCCATAGGCAAGGTGCTTGAGTCCTTTTATCAAATTAGTGGCCTCTTCTGGACTTGCTACAACAGTTCTATGTCCTTATGTTGGGGACAACAGAACTGTATGCAAGGGAGGGTCTCACAAGAGCAGAGTAGAAGGGGAGGATCATTTCCTTCAACCTGCTGGTCATGCTCTGTAGCAGGCACAGGGTCTGCAAGGGCCCCGTGGTGTGCACAAGCCAAAGATAGGAAATGCCAAGTCATGGTGAATGGGCTAGAAGCCCCTCTTCCGCCTTTTGAAGCCCCTGTTTATCTCTCTGTAACACTATAGGTCACTTTCCTTTAACCCTTGCCATTGGACAATTTCTGATTCCCCTGTACCCTATATAAAGGGCTGTTTTAGTCCAGCTCTGGCTAGAAGAGTTGTCACTGGGACCCTTCACAGAAGAACCAATAAATACATCGCTGTGGAACTCCACACGGCCTTCTCTCCCTTCGTCTGCCTGCCTAGGCACCTAGCAAGCTGAAGGGCGGAAATCACAATGAGCTGATAATCACTTAAGAGTTGATCTCACTTAAGCTTGCTAAGGTTACCTGCGGCTGAGAACTGCTTGGGAACTCGGACAGTCTGTCCCGAATAGGACTGCACTATCTGGGACCCTGCAGTCTGCTGGGGACACCCTGAAACCCAGCAAAGGCGCTTCAATGCTCCTTTGAATGCAGCTCAGGATTCCGTTGGTTTTCTGTGCTGCCAGCACACATTGGCAGCTCATGTTTTTTTATTAACCATCGCCCTCAAATCCTCTGCAGGGCTGCTGGGCTGCTCTCATTCACTTTGCCCAACATGTAGATGTGTCTGGAATTGCCACAATCCAGGTGTAAGACCTTGAACTTGGCCGTGTTGAACTTCATGAGGTTTGCACAGACCCACATCTCAAGCCTGTCCAGGTCCCTCTGGATGCCATCCCTTCCCTCCAGTGTGTCGACCACACCACACAGCTTGATGTCATTAGCAAATTTGCTGAGGGTGGCCTCAATCCCACTGTCTATGTCACCAACAAAGATGTTGAACGGTATCAGCCCCAGTACCGACTCCTGAGGGACACCACACATCACCAGTCTCCACATGGACAATCAGCTGTTGACCACAACATGGATTTGATGGACGGACCACTCAGTGGCATGCAGCCATCCAGCCAGTTCTTTATCCACTGAGTGGTCCGTCCATCAAATCCATGTCTCTCCAATTTGGAGACAAGGATGTCATACAGGACAGTATCAAATGTTTTGCATAAGTCCAGGTAGATGATGTAATTTACTCTGCCCCATTCACCAATGCTGCAGCATTATTCTGGGAGTTAATGTAAAACACCTCAAGGACAACAGTCATGGGTCACAGCCAGCACAACTTCATGAAGGGAAAGTCCTGCTTGTCAAACTTAATTTCCTCTTTCAACAAGATAATCCACCTAGTTGACCAAGAAAAGTCTGTTTGGGATTTCTGTAAAGCTTTCAATATTATCTCACAGTATCTTTCTTGACAAAATGTCCAGCACACAGCTGGATAAACATATCATGCAATGGGTGAGCAACTGACTCATGGGTCAGGCACAAAGAATTATAGTAAATGGGATTACATCAGGCTACCAACCAGCAACTAGTGAGGTTCCACAGGGCTTCATCTTAGGCTCATTTCTCTTCAACATCTTTATAAATGACTTGGACGCAGGACTTGAAGGGACACTAAGAAAGATTGATGATGACACTAAACTGGGAGGACCTATTGACTCCCTTGAGGGCAGAGAGGCTCTGCAGAGAGACCTTGACAAATGAGAGGGCTAGGTAATCACCAATCATATGGAGTTTCACAAAGAAAAGTGCCACATTCTGCACCTGGGATGGGGCAACCCTACATGTACAGACAAACAGGAGAACAAGAGGCTAAAGAGCAGTGCTGCAGGAAGGGACCTGAGGGCCCTGGTCAGTGGGTAGTTGGATTTGAGTCAGCAGTGCCCTGGCAGCCAGGAGGGCCAACCATATCCTGGGGTGTATGTAGCAGGCACAGGGCCTGCAATGCCTCCATGGCATTCAGCAGCCTAAGACAGGAAATGCCTAGTCATGACGACTGGACCTAAGAAGCCTGTCTTCTACCTTTGGACCCTTACTTATCTCTCTGTATGACTATAGGTCACATTTACCTCAACCCTTACTATTGGACAATTTCTAAAACTCCTGTATCCTATAAAAATCCCTACTTTTGCCCAATTTGGCAGAAGAGCTGTCCCTGAGAACCTTTGCAGAAGACATCAATAAAGACATCTCTGTGGAATCTCATAGAGTCTTCTCCTCTCTCTCCCTGCGTCTGCCAAAGGCACTTGGCAAGCCAAGAGCTGAAATCACAGATGAGCTGATCTCACTTAAGAGCTGAGCTTGCTAAGGTTGCCTGCAGCTGGGAGCTGCTTGGGAGCCCAGGCAGGCTGTGCTGAACAGGACTGCGCTATCCAGACCTGCAGCAGCCAGCTGGGGAATACCCCGAAACTCAGCTGAGGCGCACATTACTCAGGTGCATCAGGCACAGCATTGCCAGCCGGGCAAGGGAGGGGATTGTTCCGTTCTGCTCTGCATTGGTGTGGTCTCACCTCTAGTCCTGTGTGCAGTTTGGGCACCACAATATAAGAAAGATATAAAGCTATTAGAGAGAGACCAAAGGATGGCAACAAAGATGGTAAAGGGTCTAGAGGGGAAGCCATACGAGGAGTGGTTGAGGTAACTTGGCTTGTTCAGCCTGAAGGAGACTGAGAGTAGACCTCATTGCAGTCTGCAGCTTCCTCATGAAGGGAAAAGGAGGGGCAGGCACTGATCTCTTCTCTCTAGTGACCAGTGACAGAACCTGAGGGAATGGCATGAAGCTGTGTCAGGGGAGGTTTAGGTTGGGTATTTGGGAAAGGTTCTTCACCCAGGGTGTGGTTGGGCTCCCCAGAGAAGTGGTCACAGCACCAAGCCTGCCAGAGTTCAAGAAGTGTTTGGACAATGCTCTCAGGCACATGGTATGATTCTTGGGGTGTCCTGTGCAGGGCCAGGACATGGACTTGATCCTGATAGGTCCCTTCCAACTCAAGATATTCCATTGTTCTATGATTAACATAACATTCTTTATTCAATGCCAAGGTAATATAGTATGTGGTTATGAACGCATTTAACTTCTCATTGCTAAAGTGTCTTAAAAAACTTGCTTTCCTATCCTAGGGAACTATCCCTGCCTTAGACTACATCAGTCATCTACTAATTCATAAGTCATAAGGGAGCCTGTTACTTTAGCATGATGGCTTGAGGATTATAATAATAATTTTGCTTATTAAACAGGCACTTTCTTACACCTACATTTCCAACCTTATCTTGATACACTACTTTGTGTATGGAAAGGTAGCTGTTCCAACATATCTGTAAAAGTTTATTCTAGTGAATTAATTATGTTTCATATAATATAAACAGGGAGGAAGACTTGTTATACAGCTCTGTTTAGCAAGGAAGATTTGCGTGCTTACCTCTAATTGTGGGACTGCAGCCACAGTGCATAAGGTTAAACTCCATAGTAAGCTGCAAGGCGCTCTTTTAAGGGAAGAGGAAACTGGTCAGAGAAACGCCTCCAATTCTCATCCCCAACTTGATTTTTAAATCCATGAAGAATCTACAAATGAGAGGGGGGAGGGAAATCAAGATAATCATTAAGCAGTAGATACACGATCATTATTTACTAGCAGCATATGCAGTAAGTCATAAACTGCTGGATTCTGCATCTGTCCATTTGAATTTCTCAGCTTAATATTTAAATGTTGCTAAGAGAAAAAGGAAGTCCAGGAAACTTCCTAGCCTGGTTCAGCTTTTGGACTACTATTCATTGCTTGTCCTCCATGTGAGTGGCAATTAAGTCACAAAGCGTAGTTCAAGGGTGATCAAAAGAGACTTTAAACCCTTGGAATGGTTAGTGAGGGAAGCAGGAGCACAGGTTATTTTTTCCTCTGTTCTTCTAGGTGCAGGCAGTAACATTGAAAAAAGCGGATGGACCCTGGCTACTAATGCATTGCTCCGTGATTGGTGTTACTGCAAAAATTTTGGTTTCTTTGATACTGGGATGGCCTACATGGCACCGGGCTTGCTGGATTCAGATGAGATTCATCTTTCTCAAAGGAGGAAGAGGGTCTTGGGTCAAGAGCTAGCAGAGCTTATTGACAGGGCTTTAACCTAGATATGATGGGGGAGGGGGACATCATCAGGTTTAACAGTGATAAGGTGTGGGATGGCATGCCATCTCACTCATAGTAGATAGATGCCGGAGCCAGGAAGAGATGCCCAGAGCCTGAAGAAGGATCAAAGGTCAGCAGGAGAGAACCTGAAGGGCAGCACAAAGGAATTCCAGCCACTCCAGACAGAAAGTCAGCTTCATCTGGGGCCCAACATAAATGCCTCTATGCCAATGCATGCAGCATGGGCAACAAACAGGAGGAGAAAGACTATAATCTTATTGGCATCCCAGAGACATGGTGGGATGATTCCTATGACTGGAGTGCTGGAATGGAAGGATACAGTCTCTTTAGGAAGGATAGTCCAGGGGAGATGAGGAGGGTGTCTTGCCCTCTATGTCAATGACCATCTAAAGTGCATGGAGCTCTGCCTGGGGATGGATGAGGAGTTGACTGAGAACTTGTGAGTCAGGATTAAAGGGAGGGCAAGGACAAGTGACATTATAGTGGGGGGTCTGCTACAGGCCACTCAACCAGGAAGACTGAGTTGATGAGATTTCTGCAGACAGATAGGAGTGGTCTCACGTTCACAAGTCCTGGTCCTCATGGGGGACTTCAACCACCCTGACATCTGTTGGAGGGATGACACAGCAGGGCACAGGCAATCCATAAGGTTCCAGGAATGTGCTGATGACAACTTCCTTCTCCAAGTGAAAGAGGAGTCCATGAGTAGAGGTGCTATGCTGGACCTTGTTCTCACCAACAAGGAGGTGTTGGGGAATGTGAACCTCAAGGGTAGCCTTGGCTGCAGTGACCATGGAATGGTGGAGTTCAAGACCCTTGAGGCAGCAAGGAGGGTGGACAACAAGCTCACTGCCCTGGATTTCAGGAGAGCTGACTTTGGCCTCTTCAGGGATCTGCTTGATAGAGTGTTGTGGGATAGAGCCCTGGAGGGAAGAGGGTCCCAAGAGAGCTGGATGATATTCAAGGATTGTCTCCTCCAGACCCAAGAGCAACGTATTCTAACAGAGGAAATGAGGGAAGAACACCTGTGTGGATGAACAAGGAGCTCCTGGACAAACTTAAACACAAACAGGTAGCTTACACAGGATGGAAGCAGGGAAAGGTAGCCTGGGAGGAATACAGAGAGATTGTCCAACAGGTTAGGATAGCTAAAGCCCTGATAGAATTAAACCTGGCGCAGGACATCAAGGGTAAGAAAAAAAGCTTCTTTAGGTACATCAGAGATAAAGGAAAAACCAGGGAAAATGTGGGTCCTCTCAGGAAGGATGTGGGAGACCTGTTTACCCAGGACATGGAGAAGGCTGAGGTACTCAATGACTTTTTTGCCTCAGTCTTCACCAACAAGTGTTCCAGATACCCTGTTCAAGTTGCAAAAGATGAAAGCAGGGACTGAGACCGGGTTTGAAACCATTTAGGGTACCTGAAGGTGCACAAGTCCATGGGATCTGACAAGATACATCCACTGGTCCTGAGGGAACTGGCCAAGGATATCCATCATATTTAAGAAGTCATGGCAGTCCAGTGAAGTTTCCTCTGACTGGAAAAGGGAACACATAAACCCCATTTTTAAAAAGGGAAATAAGGAAGTCCCAGGGAACTACAGGCCAGTCAGCCTCACCGCAGTGCCAGGCAGGGTCATGGAGCAGATCCTCCTGGAAACTATGCTAAGGCACATGATAAACAAGGTGGTGATTGCTGAAAGCCACCATGGCTTCACCAAAGGCAAAACAAGCCTAAAAAACTTGATGGCCTTATATGATGAGGTTACGGTAGTGGTGGATGAGGGAAGAGCAACTGACATCATCTACCTGGACTTGTGCAAAGCATTTGACACTGTTCCGCATGACATCTTGGGCTCTGAACTGAAGAGATGTGGATTTGATGGGTGGACCACTCAGTGGATAAGGAATTGGCTGGATGATCACACTCAAATTATGGTCAACAGCTCAATGTCCAAGTGGAAACCAGTGACAAGTGCTGTCCTCAGGAGTCAGTGTTGGAACCAGCACTGTTTAACATCTGTGTCAGTGACATGGACAGTGGAATTGAGTGCACTTTCAGCGAGTTTGTCAATGACACCGAGCTGTGTGGTGGGGTAGACACACCGGAGGGAAGGGATGGCATCCAGAGGGACCTGGAGAGGCTTGAGAGGTGGGTCTGTGTGAACCTCATGAAATTCAACAAGTCCAAGTCCAATTGCCCATGGGAATCACATAAGGTTTAATAAGAACAAGTGCTGGTGCTGCACCTGGGTCAGGTCAACCCCTGGTATCAACACAGGCTGGGGGATGAACAGATTGAGAGCAGCCCTGCTAAGAAGGACTTGGGGGTGTTTTTGGATGAGAGGCTGGACATGAGCTGGCAATGTGTGCTTGCAGCACAGAAAGCAAATTGTATTCTGGGCTACATTAAGAGGTGTGAAAAGCAGGTCAAGGGTAGGGATTCTGCCCCTCTGCTCTGGTGAGACCCCACTTGGAGTATTACATCCAACTCTGGGGTCCCTGGCACAGGAAGGACATGGACCTGTTGGAGCAAGTTCAGAGGAGGCCATCAGGATGATGAGAGGGATGGAGCACCTCTCCTACAAAGACGTGCTGAGAGAGTTGGGGTTGTTCAGCCTGAAAAAGAGAAGGCTTTTGGGTGACCTAATTGCAGCGTTCTGGTACCTGAAGAAAGATGGAGAGGGACTTCATAGAAGTTGTGTTTATGGACAAAAAGCATGTCATGACTCAGCAATATGCACTTGCAGCCCAGATACCAACTGTATCCTGGGCTACATCCAGAGCAGCATGGCCAGCAGATGGAGAGAGGGGATTCTCCCCTTCTACTCCGCTCTCCTGAGACCCCACCTGAGTATTGCATGTAGCTCTGGGGTCCTCAACACAAGAAAGATGTCTACCCGTTAGAGTGAGTCCAGAGGAAGCCACTAAGCTGATCAGAGGGCTGGAGGCCCTCTTCTATGAAGACAGGCTGAGAGAGTTGGGGTTGTTCAGCCTGGAGAAGTGAAGGCTTCAAGGAGACCTTAGAGCACCTTCCAGTACCTAAAGGGGGCTTATAAGAGCTGGGGAGGGACTTTTCACAAGGGCATGGAGTGATAGGACAAGGGGGAATGACTTCAAATTGAAAGAGGGCAAGTTTAGATTAGATGCAGTGATGGTGGTGAGACACTGGAACAGGTTGCCCAGAGAGGCTGAGAACTCCTTATCCCTGGAGGTGTTCAAGGCCAGGTTGGATGGAGTACTGAGCAACCTGGTCTAGTGAAAGGTGTTTCTAGCAGTGGCGGTGGATTAGAACTAGATGATCTTAAAGGTCCCTTCCAACACCAACCTTTTTGTGATTCTATGATTCTAATGTCTTTCTTAAAGGAAAAAACCCCAGCATTTCAGTTAAGGGTGACATATACAATATCGCTACGCACACAGATTAGCATAAAGTATATAAATATATATTTTATATAAATTTAAATATACATATGTGTGTGTATGTAGTTTTAATGACTATGGTGACAGCCTAGAGTGAGGCTGAACATTTTGTCAATTGATACCGTTTATATGTTAAGATTACTGCGTTCACATTCATCTTTTTAAACCTATAATATGTTCTGGGAGGAAAGCTGAGCCAGAGCCACCGCCACCATTTGACAGAATGAATGCCTGTCAATTTCTTGCAAAAAACAAAAGTATCCTGTGAGAGCTGTGTTTTTTCCATGAAACCTGTAGAAAAACTGTTACTAAAAAGGAAGCTATTAAAATATTTTGTGTTTTGAAAGAACAGAGATCCACAACATAAGAGGGGGAAAAAAAATCAAATCTCCAGGTTTCAGTCTGGACCCTCCAATGTAATAAATTAACTGAAAGCTACAAAAATTGAATGACACTGTCAAAAAGGTCTTAGTATTTTAGCTCCTCTTAATAGAAAATAATGCAGTCTCTAAAGTTTTGGTTTGTTTTTCTTTTCTAAACTCAAAGGTACATAATTGTGGAACAGTCTATCATGAAAACATCCTCACAAATAAGGCAATGTCAAAGTTAAAGCTCATGACACTGAGTTCACCCTCAACACAACATTCTCAAGCAGAGCTGTTTTTAAATAGCATGTAGCAATAATATTACAGTGTCACAAGTTAATTTACTGCTTTTCTCCCTGAAAGAGACCTTCAACAGACAGATTCACCTCTCTTTCCTAACCCAAAGAGTCTGATTTGGCAGCTACCAAGAAGCTACCAAAAAAATCGAAGAATGTTCAGGTACAACAAAAGGAGCGCTTTTAAAAAAATATCTTACAGGACAATTTTAGCAATTGAGCATCAGTTACAGTATTCAGATATCTTGCTTTTCTAAAACATGATACAATTAGGGTATATATGAGATCTCAACACTGGCAGCTCATGCACCTTTGCTCTTGGAAGGAGTATTTTCTCTCTTAGCTCTAGTGCTCCACAACCAACAAACCAACCAATCCATCCCCCCAAAACCCAAACACTATCTACTGTCAAGAGAAAGACCTTGGGGGACTACAAATTTTTTCTCATTATTTCTAAAAGGCATAATTATCATTGGAAAATATGTAACTGGACTACAATAATCATGCATTCAACTAACAAAAACTCATTCCAATGAGGAAGCAATCTAAAAAAATTGTATGCCATCACTTGAAGACAGCTTTGTCTCTGTCCTTGCTTGGCAAAAACCACAAAAAATACACTTTAAAAAGCAAGGATGTCTTTATGCCAAGTGACCAAGAAACACTGTGTCTACTTTGAATGCATTAGATCCCACGTGGATATCCTGGAAAGAATCTGAAAAAGAGGAGCATAGCTTATTGAAGTAAGTATTGAATGCTGAAGGAGCAGGACAGAAACATGTACTGAAACTGCTTTGGACAGCCATCACAGACAGCATCCTGGACTTTTAAGCTTGTATTTCTTGTTTCCTTATGCTGATACTAGAATACTCAGAGCCATGCATTTCCTGACCCTGATATTCCTTTGAAGGTTCTCAGATATTTGGTCTCCTAACTAGGACACTGAGATTTTTTTTGTCTTTGATACTCAAGTCAGGATTCCAATATTCTAGTTCATTCTGATGCACACACATGGCATTACTTGAAGAGGAAGTGCCAATATTGGCCCACAATTCAAGTATGTACTTAGAAATATGTTCCATTTTATCTTTAAGAGGACCATTAACTTTTGACATACGTCCTTCCTAAAACTAGAGATTTCACTTTACAACATACAAGAAAAGCCTGAACAATGCTGAACAATAACAGCATCTGTGCATGAAACTGAAATAAGTTTATTTTGTTCTGGTTTTTAACTGAAGACACTAGTGCATAAACACAGTATATTATTTTCTGTCTCTGTGTGTGTTTTGCTTATTTCACACAAGGCAAACATTCCTTTTGATTAAATTCTATTGACACTTTGTCTAGGGATGCATTCTTGGCTATATCTGTACATAAGTTTCCTGAAGACTTGCTTATCCAAGAGGAACTCTGAGGAGGGTTAAGCAGTCCCAAAAACTTATTTTCATCTGGAGCAAGATAAACAGATCAGGATACTACTGGAAGATTTTCCATTTTCAATTTTCTAGATATTTAAAAAAATATATATTCTTGGGGGGAATGGGTCTTAAACCACACAGATCTCATTTTCTAGAAAAGAAAAAAAAAGGGGAAAAAAAGTTTTCTATGTGGTATAAAACCTCCTGTTCTTCCAAATGCAGCCAAAACATAGTAGGCGGGACATTATAAAAATATAGGTTAAAAAAAATCAGATTTTTTTAATGTTTTGTTTGACAGTTTATGACTTTGCAAGAAAGCCTTCATGACCACAAATACAGTAAGTTTTAATAATGGAAATAAACAACAAGGAAAAAAAAGGATCCAAAAATAACCACAGTTCAGATATACTGTCATACTAGAAACATTACCTTACAGAACATGTCTCGGAGATCATCTTTTGGGTTAATCCACGATGCAACAGCATCACAAAAAAAAATAAAGTCCTATAAGATTAAACAATCACATAGGTTAGGAACCTCACATTTGTAGGTCTGAAAACAATGTCCAATGTTTGTTCTATGAACTATGCAGGGTATCTGATCCTAACTCACAACTCTGCTTTTAGTTTTATGCCTTTATTTTCTAGTTAATTCAGACAATAATGGTAAGCTATTGTATGTTTAAGTATATGGAAATAGAAATAGCTGAGTGTAGGAATACCTTTGTTTCATAGGATTTTTTATTAAATTGAACCACAGTTAAAAACACCCCAAACCAACAAACAAACACCTCTTCCCTCCCTCACACCACACTTGTCTAACTAATCATTTCAGTACACATTATAAGTTTGAGAACTAATCATCTCAATAACAATCAACAAACTTGGGATCACACTTGCAACTTACTCTCATGTATTTTCAGTTGGGAAAAAAGCTGTTGTATTTTTTTAAGCAGAGACAGAAGTTGTTTCTGGGATACACAGAATGTGTACATGTTCAAAACTAAAGCCACCCCAAAATAACTATTTTGCTTTACCTCTGACTATACCATTAAAACATCAGTCTTAATGATTAAGTTGATAATGCATGTTTTTGGATAGGAACTGAGGATAACAACTACATAGGAGGAGAGCTTGGATAATGAAGAGAGTCCTTAATTGCTCCCTCCATTTAAGCTGTGGGAAAGAACAAACAGACAGCAGAAGAGGAAAATGCTAAGTACAAGATAAGGGATACGTGAAATGAACTGAAAAATTCAAAACAAGATAAAGGTTCAATTCTTGCATTTCAGGGAGAAGGATTCCAGGCAGAGGAGAGGGAAATTCACCTTTATTTTCCTCTTAGAAAATATTACCTTCATACAGCTTTACCTTGGAGCTGCACAGACTAAAGAGCAAATCATATTCTAGAGATGCACAATTTATTTTAAAGGGATGCATCTTCCTTATCATGGTGACTATTTAGCAATATAGCCAAAGCTAAAAGAGAATCTTCCCTGACCCAGTTTTAAGAATGAAGGGGTGGTTATTGTTTTTGTTTTGTTTCTTTTTTTAAAAGCCTAGATTGTATCTGAAAAACAGGTTTCAATATGTCAGCTTTTGTCTTGTATTTTCATACATATCATCAACATAAAAAAGACTGATAGAAGTATCAGAATACAGTTAATCAAAGTTCATTATTGACATATTCCTTGTAAGTAAAAGACAAAAATGAATTTAACAATGCTGTCTTCCTTTCCATAAGTGATAATTACTGAAGCAGAAATCCTGAAGTATCAGGATATGTATAATTTGGAATATAAACATTTTGGTCTTCTTGATGCCTAAAAAGAAGTTACAGCACATACTACTGGAAATCTACTTCAAGCTAAATATTTTTCATACTCTGTATACAGCTTTCACTAAATTTTACATGAGCAAAGAAAAAAGAAGTTAAGACCTATTTATGTATCTTACTTGGACTACTCCACTGGGGTTGACTGAGATCATGGTACATATCCCACGGAACGCTGAATCCTTTTCCTCATTGTCTCTTATGTTTCGCAGAGAAGTGCACCTAGTAAGTTGGAGAGCAAAACTTGAATAATTCTATTACTTTTTGATTCAATCAAGTCAGAACTAGATGACAGCATTTGATGGAATAAGTCACACTGGTAAGATTACCTGAAACACTATTTTGAACACTTAGAAAGTTACTTGTTGCACACAGTATTTACTAGTATATTCCCATTAGGTATCATCTACAGAATCTTGCTTTCCTGTTGAACTATATAGTTAGAAAGTGTGACTTGTATTCCATTAAATACAAAAGAAACACATATAAAAATAATTATAATTATAGAAACTATCATTATTAGAAGCAGAACATATAATACTATTGCAATATGAATTGTCAGATATCACTTAAAGAACAATTATTTAACCTTTACAGCAGCAAGCAAGCTATTTTATACATAACAAGTATAGAAATAGATTACTTACAGCAATTCAAGCCTCAGACTGAATTTTAAGTAAAGTAATGCACAGTTTAAATTTTAGAGTATTTGCATGCATTGTATTATCATTCTCGTGGACTTTAAAATGCTCTTTCATGGTCAAGCTTTAACACGCAAGCATGTGACAATCTTATCCCATGCATAAATTAGTCGTTAGCCACAACATAAAGAATACATGACAGTGCTACTAAAAACTCACAAACCTGATAGGACAAGATTAGTCACATGGTTGGCAATGATTAAGGATTGAGATTTTGTAACCAACTGAAAATATATCTAAAAGTGAGATAGAAGAAAGAAAGAAAGTGAAGAAAAATGAATTAAAAAAAATTTTGAATAATACACACCAGGGTCTTATAAACTGCTGTAGCATGGGAGCCACCTCTTGAGGACAAACGTAACCAAGACGACCAATTGTTATTGCTAAGGTAATGCAATCACGGTTATACACCACCAAACGCCAACCAAGACATGAGCAAATGAGGGGGGAGGAGAAAAAATAAAGAAAAAACAACAAATAACTCAGAAACAGAAGCCAACAGAATCTGTATATGATAGTAAACATAAGATTTCACCAGTGCTGTTTATTACAACCCCTTGAATAAGAGGAAGCAACATATATGGTATAGTCTCCAGGGTAAAAGAAAAATTAAAGAAGTAAATGAGAGAACACCAAAAAACACAATTTGAAATACAAAGGCTTTCTGATGTAAGTAGTCATTCTGCTCTCTTCAGAATCACCTCTTACAGTAAATTTACCTCCTTACACTTCAAAGTTTTTAATAAAAAGTACTATTATGGATACTAATGATAGGAATTAACCATTTTTGGTTTTAGTATCAAGTAGTCCTAAAAATTTAATTTTTTCAATATTTAGAATTTAAGATTTTGATAGGTCTACTATCAGTAAAAATACATTTATAAACACTTTTACATGGAATACATTGTGGTCTATCTAATAAACACTAAATAGATTAAACACTCTCAAAGAGACCCAAGTATTTGCTTTCTTCATAATCTTGTAGAAAAATTAAAGTGGTTGCTAGCTCATAGCAAGTGACTGGATAAAATTAATTTTTTAATCCAAATATTTTTCCTGTTTAGAAAAACTTCCTCATAAAAGTTGTATGATTATTTGACTTTTGATACAAAAGCATAAAGACAAAAAAAAGTAAAACTGCTTCTCTGAATGATTAGGTATTGTGGTCCTTTGTTCTGAGGACCAGACTGAAAATAATATCATCATGAAAGTGTGTTTTAATGGTGTTTGCTCAACTCACAAAAGATTAATCTTCAGAAAAAAGAGAAGGTGGGAAATAATGTATCAGAATTACTTGAAGCAAAATCCATGAATAATACTAAAATCCAGCAGATTTATATGAAGCAAAGAAACCTATGTTCAAGGGACATACTATGCAACACTAATTAACAGGCGTTTGTGAACAGTTTCATGAAACATGCAATAAAGCAGATGATGCTTTCTCCAATAAAAGTTTAGTGTAGGATACACTAGCAGTTTTAAATGTACCCATTCCATGAAAGCTACATGTCACTGGTAATGTACTATTTTGCCCAGACATTAATTGATTTCAAATTTTCAGCAGATCTAACACAAAACTGCATTTGAAGTGATATTTTCAAATGAAAGTGCACTTTTAAGGTTTATCTGTAAATTCTCACAGCTAGAGTCTGTATGAGGAATAGTAATTTTTGTCAAAGGGTAACTTTTGGCATGTACTCATTATTTTCTATGCAACTATTTTACTTAAGCTGATCTCATATGTTTCCATAACAGAAGTGTTTTCATAGCTCATTACATAACAACCTACAATAGAAAACATGAATACTCTTGCACATACCAATGGCATGTAGCACAATATCCCACAAGAAACTTATCATTACATCACACTCAACATTTATTTACAGCTTTGCATCTGCATTTAAAGTAACTATTAAAATACTAAAAATAGTCAGTGTTTGGATGCCTAAAAAAATTCTCTGCCAGTTATGGAAGCAAACTTTTAGGTACTGGATGTTTCTCAGATACAGATATTACATGTCCATTAATACAGACAAAGGGGCTTGGGGGCAAGGGGTAAGAAAATTTATTTTGCTATACTATTCCATGGTGCATTTCATAACAAGTAATTAGCATGAAAATTATCTTTTCAAAAAGCAGTGCCTATAATATGCCAGACAACTAGGCAATTTTTCCTTTACATTCACCTTCCATACTAAATGAGGGGATGGGGTGTGGAGAATACTGAAGGAAAAATATGCATAGAAAGAAATCCCAATTTACCTCATACTTAGCTCAAGCCCAAATGTAACTAGCACTGAATTTCCATAATTTTCAATTATGTTCAGTATAACGACTAAGCTATCATTTTTCTTACAAGACAGTTTTCAAACAGAAAAAAAAATCAAAATATTCTAAATTAGTAAAACAGTAAACCTGAAACTTGTTAAATTATTAAAAAAGTTTTGCTGAAGTATGGAAGGTGTTCCTCATACCAGAACATGCCTTCTATAAATGCAAAAAACCAAGCCTCAGAAATTTCAGTTCAATAAGGCATTTGGGGACTGCTTCCAATTTGGAAGGCAAAGCAGCTGTCCAGAACATAGAAACATACATGCCACTGTTAAGACTTCTTTTCAGAAATTTGTCGTTAAGTGACCAGGTAATAGAAATTATACATAATTTCAGTTATGTTTTGGTAAAACTGCCATCACAGATCTAGATTTTTGTGCATATTGCTACAAAGTAATGTTTTTTAAAAAGTGCATTATTGTAAATTCAAAGAGTTCATTATTTTTTATATATATGCCAATTACATTTGTTTCACACTAGACATGTACATACAGTACTCATGAAAGGACATGCATATATTAAAATGAGTGTAAAGCCACTAAGTCTTTAAGTGTTACTGCATACATCTGTCATATTGTATACATAAATAAAATTGGAGGAATACTCTAATAGATGATAAATAAATATAAAATGCTATAAAGGTGAGAAAGCACTTTAATAATCTAGATATATGATAGATGTTTTTCTGCAAGACTGAGACTTGTAAGAGTTTCTCTGAAACAGTTGTTTTTGCTTATAAAAGCCAAACATATAGCAATAAAATAAGTTCTACTCAATTTTTTTAAATAATCGTAGAAAAAAAATTAATTCCCTTAAACATAAATTATTCAGTTTTTGGATACCTGTGTTCTCTAACAATGTCTTTGGTGTGTTGGGTCTGTTAATTATTTCTACAAGCTGGTGTAACACCATTGGAATATAATGCTGCATCTCTATACCTGAAACAGCCAAAAAAAAAGCATTCAGAAGAAAATGACCATTAATATATATAATCTATTTAGATCTGGTACATTGAACTTACTGTCAAAGACAAGAATTTAAAACTGAATTTAAATTTTTAACATGAAAGCATCACTAGAAATGAAAAACAATCCACAACCCAAACAAACCATTCTAAATATGTGAAAATTCAAAAAAAAAAACTTACCCATTTGGATGGAGATTTCTCCAATTGCCCAGGTGGCATTGTTACACACAGAAATGAATTCAGGGTTTAGGTTTGTTCCCAAAATGGGCATGAAATCAGCTAGAAGGAACATTTTAAAATCTCATCACACAATACAAGCAACCATCTTGTTCTATTACTGTAAGATCACAAGGAGAGGGAGTTTAAAAAATCATATAAGTGTATTTAAATTCTTGTAAAGCATTTCACTTTAATTACCAAGAGCTGTATTTTTGCTATATATCAGATTAGTCTGGAAGATACAACCTAAGCAGATCAATGCAAATCCTTTCAAACTATGATTTTAAAATATTTCTAATAGATTTTACATTGATGTAACTCTAGAAACCTTTTTTATCCCATTCCCGGGAGTAGGGAAAGAAAAGCACACCCGGATAGCTATGGATTCAGCTGTGCTAAAAAAAAAATTACCAAACACCTCTCCCCAAAACAAACACCCCCTTCAGCAACAAAAACAAAAACCCACCAAACACAACACCAAGCCCCCCAAAAAAACCCCAACAGCCAACAACAATGAAGCCTAGAAAGTAAATCCCAGCTTTGATTAAAATGGCAGATGTTATAATCTGTCTTTGTGACTAATATTTCACTAAATTTAAAATTCCAAGCCTATCCAAGTATTCATAGATTCTAGTAGAGTAAAAATCCTACATAGCAACTGTTCTAATTGAAGTGTAAGTACATCTGTTTTTCTGTATTCCAGCAAAACAGGAAGCATGTTACATTATAGAAATCAAGCAACAAGATGAATTTTTGCACTGTCTACAAAAAGAACAACACGTCTTAAAACACACAGTTTAAAGGAGAAAAGACTACAGACTCTTGCTGATAAAGGAAAACTAAAATCTACACCATGACAAGGTAACCCACAGAAAAGGGAACTTAAAAATGGCTAAACCATCCTCCTATCAGTTTATAAAACAAATTAATTATTTAATATGCAAAAGAAACATACCGATGCAAGGCTTAACATGCTGAAAACACGCCTTTGTCAGATCACCTAACAATGCAAAAGAACTCTGCCGCACCTCAGGCATTTTATCCTAAAGAGAGGAAGAAAAAAAACCTGACAATTCTAGAAGTGTTTCTGATTCTTTCTAGAAAGAAAATTTTGGATTAAACAGATTACTCATCTCACCTGCATACATTGGTACATTAGTGTCAGGATATTGCTGCAAGCCACTAGCTGTTCAATGTTGCCTCCAAGTCCTTCAGCTAAACCACTGAGTAAATCAAGAGCTACAATCATGAAATCTTTATCTGGAGCCTCATATTGGTCTGGCTGAGCATTGTGCAACTGCAACAAATAATTATGCATTTTCAAAATGAGTATTATATTTTCTCAGAGGCATGCATAAAAGTAAAAACAAACAAACAATTAAGTTTCAGAACTGCAGCTTCATTTAAATATTCAATAATTAATACTACAAATCTCCCTGCAAACCTCTAACTTTACATAGTTAATACATTGGTTTAAGGAGATATTCTGAAAACATTGGAATAGCAATAGAAAAATACCATGGCTTGTGCAAGAGTCTTCTGCACCAGATTGACACAACGCTGGTACACAGGCTCACAGTATGGAAGAAATCCAGATTGCAAGGCAGTAGCAACTGATGACAGGCACTGAAATAAAATAAAGAAGGAAAAAAAGTGAGAGAGACACTTTCTTCACCTCCCCCAAGAACCCTTTACATGTGTGTAGCAAATTAAAAGCATTTTAAGCATATTCACAAGTAACTGTTTAAGCAAAAACAATCTGGAAAGGTAGTACTGATTAGCTGAGCCAAGGCAACCATCAGCTAATTGTTATTCTCTCCTATGTATGTCAGTTGAAAAAATTTCTCAGGAGCAGCATCTTCTTCAAGGTGCCAAGACAGTTCATATGAAGACAATTACCATAATTCAGCTAGCATTTACACTAAACTTCACCATGCTGACAATGTACAAGCCCTAACATTACCCAAGAGTTATGAAACTAATTTCTCTAGAAGTATTTTCCTGCTTCACACTTGGAAAGTACAGAGAACAGACTACATTGTCTGGTTCATACCTTCAGCCTGTTGGTAATTTTTTTAATGAAGGGACGAAAGGAAAGCAGGGAGAGAAGACAAGAATAACAGGGATGGAACAATTTTTTAAAAACAAAGAATCCCAAAAAAACCACCCAAGAATGGCAGGGAAAAAATAATTCTAAAAGATTTCTGCTAAACTTAATAACATTTCCTCAGTTAAAAAAATTTCTCACTATTGTCATAATATTTTCTCCATAATGGGAAATACCTAAGACTGACAGCATTTATAGTCACACTTCCTAGTAGGAACATCCTTAGTAGAAGAGGCAATTCCCAAAAGACACATACTCAAATTTTAACATTTACCTCCAATAAAGGGAAGAGATCTTTATCTTCATCTTTCAACATGTTCCACTTCTGGATTAATGGAGGCATTAGCATCTGAATATATTCCTGTTTAAGATGAAAATGCATCAGCTACTGGAGCATTTAATTGCATACTAGTGTATTTCAAAGCTAGAAAATTTATATATTCTACTTTTTCAGGAGAAAAAAAATATACTGCAATTCAACCTTTGTTGAAATATATAGTGGTTGAATATTAGAACTTAAATTTTATGTCTTAAGATTTTTTGCTGAGGCACATAAGTACCTTTGCAAAACAAATCTTTTCCTCCAGGTTTGGCTTCAGTCTACCAACTTTTAATAGCTGCCTGGGTTGTTACATATCTATAGGATTGACTCAGGGACTACAGAAAATGTTTTTACCAGCAATACAATCTAGCTGTGCATCTGCCACTTGCTTTTCTCAATCATCTTCCATTGCCTTGATGTTTCAACTCTATCCCCAGAAGTTCCTGAAACCTGTTCCTCATTCAATTACTCATCCATGAAGAAAGTAATTTTCTATCCCTCCAGAAATGCGCACTTACCAATTCTGTATAAAATGTTGCATCTTCTCGGCCACTGCTGTCACAGTCACAAGGACATTAAGCAAGGCATCCCTGTAGTACTGTTGCTCCCAGAAAGTATCCAAAGAGACAACAGATGCTGCCAGCTAATGCTATGTCCAAAGATACAATATTTTAAGCAACTGAAGAAAGTCCCACCATTACCAGGAGCTCCCATTTAGCTTCCTCCTGGTGCTGTCAGAAGTCAAGCTGGCCAGGGCCAGAGAGAGATTGGAAAATATGTCCTTTGACAGTGTGGAGTCTTGAATGGCAAATAAAATGCCATGGCAACAACCCAAATTGTTTTATTCTAGTTTGTCTATATCATGTGAAGCACTATAGAGAAATAAGCCAAATTTCAACAGCATGCATGTGACATATATGTATATCCTATTAATGAACATGTATACTACAAAACCCCCACTACACTTGCCTGTGCTCTCTGTGATTTACTCAAAGAATGCTGTGTTTTTAGATATAAAATGCACATCTATCCCACTTTTGGATGAAGCAATCTCTAATGATGATGTGCTTTGATGCATTGAAAGACAGAGCAGTTTAGCTATACTGAAAGTGGTTACAAGCAACAAAAAAGTCATTAGAAATTAGCGCACACATTCTACCAATTTCTTTAAAATCCCATGTCATATCTATATACATATCTCTATATATCTCCTTTGAGCTGAAAAATTCTGAGAGTAAGAAAAAAAAGCCACAATAATGAGAAGTACATTTTGCAAGCCACCAAACACACAATTATTTATTCAAAATGGGGAGTATTTGTGTAGTGTGAAAATTACATACAGTCTATGTATATTACATGCAAATATTTATTATTATTGAATCCAGGATTTTTGTTTAAAAACATATAAAGCACACTACAAAAGCCACTCAACCAGTTTTTCAATATATGATGAGCGGTTCTACACAACATAAAGTATACTCACAGGTTTATTTAGATGATGTCCTACAGAATCTGCTAGAGTTCCTATAGCATCATAAAGAATGAGCAGGTTTTTATGCTGATATTTACTAAATGCGAAGACCAAAGTGTCAAGTATATATGCAAGATAAGGAACAAGCTCTGTACAAGCCTCCTCTTCTAGAGTAGCAAAGGCACTGATGGACAAAAAAACCCACCCCAAATAGGTCAGTCAGTAGCTTGTAAAAAACAAAACACGACCACCCCAAAAAGCCCTAAACTACCCATTCCTGGTTAAACACAGAACTGTATTTAGTCTTTAAATTCATCCAAGGTATGTTTTTACAATGGTATTATTGAGACAAACTCAATCTATTTTGATTGAACACAAAGATTCAGCTCAAACTGTGATGAGCAAAATGTAAAAAAATTATGGTAAAAACCTTTAATGTATACATGTTACAGATGTAATCCTGCTTTATGAAGAAACTTTCTTGGCAGTCTGCTGTGCACTCCTCCCCTGCACAAACTGACATGTAAAAGCTTTACTTGCTGAGCTTCCTGCACAAGTGGTGTACCCATTCTAATAATGGTGTGCCCGTTCTTTTTTTTTTTTTTAAATATTGGCAGACAAGGGACAGAAGGGAATCTTACCTCCAAGGATCTCCTTTCAAGAGAAAGGGAATATCCCTTGAAATAGTTGTAACCCAAATTTTTTGGTAATCCTGAGCTAAATATAAACATTGCTAATGCAATGATGGGATAGTTTTCCTGTATTGACCTTGCTCATAAGCCTATAAAAGCTAGATTCCTAGACAATGAAATTTCAAATATTGAAAATAAACAGGTGTAACATACAGATTATTTCTTTTTACAGCAATAGATTGTTTAGTTTGCTTTTCATATATTCTAAAAACAAACTGGACAAGAGAAAGACAAATTATCTGGTTTTGTTTTACCACAACTCAGTTGTGATGATTTCAGAAGAAGCCGAACCCACCCCAATTTAAAAGGAAAAAAAATACATTAGGAGCTAGAAACAGAGTTATAGAATAATCAATTAAGGCATTAAAATATTTTCCCATGTGAAAAAGCAGTGTCATGGATAGTACTTTTTGTTTAAGCTTTGGCTCACCTGCAGGCAGCTTCTTGTACTCTCTTGTTGCTATCCAGAATGCGCTTTAGCAACTCGGTCATTAATGGCTTCAAGTATGTGTCTGGGGGTTGACTAACTACCCAGTGTGCATAGCGACTAAGAGTCCAGCAAGTGATGGAGCGCACAAGAGCCTTTTTATTAGAGAGGCACTGAATAAGGTGAGGGATCAGCTCAGGAAGATATGGAATCATACCCTGCATGCAGCCTAGAAGGAAAAATATAGCTATTACAGTATGAGAATTAGAAAACATAATAGAGCGTTTTGTTATTTCCTAGAAGGGATATATTTTCTTCCTCTATCATGTAGTAATACATTTTGCCAATATACAAAGCAAGTCTACCTAATTTATGTTAAGTCCTAAAATGAAACCACACCATAAACAGTAATTAAAATCCTCAATCGAATTTACATTTATTCCAACTACATTTCTACTTCAGTGCTTCTCCAATCTCCATAAATTCTGCTTTATTAAAGGGAGTATAGCAAGAATATCCAAATAAAATTGGTTTACAAAGCTTGGAAGTCTTATGCCAGTCTACTCAGAGTGACCAAGACAACAAGCAGAGAAAGATTAGGCCTTGATAACTAATCACCATATCATTAAAAAATATTTTTTTAAAAATTTAATTTTCCTCTTGTTTTCTCTTAATATAACACAAATACTGATCAATAAAAACTGCACACTTTGAGTCAGCAAGGGCAGTAATATACTAAGATTTGCAAGAAGTACTAAGTTTTACCTTGCTTGACTTGAAATCAAAACCAACAAAAATGCTTTCTAGCAACAAATAAAATATATGTTCACTAGGCACTGTAGGAAAAGATAGATAATCCAGGCATGGACCCAAACATATTCCTTCAATTTCCAAAACAGACAGAGATTATGGAAATACAGGCAAAAAGCCAAGACTGTAAGTAAATACAAAGAAATGGAAGTTAACACATTTAAACCAGAGAGCCATCCACGAAAAGCAGCTCAGGGCACTGAAGTCATGGGACTTGTCTTCTCCATTTCTGAAAACACTGAATGAAATGTAGATATTCCTGTTGTATCAAATCAAGGTAGTATTTCATGAGAGACCAAGAAATATATGCTACAGAGTTAAAAAGGGGAGGAATAAAATAAATTATCTAAGTTATTGAAGCCTCAAAAAAATGCACAGATTTGAAAATGAAAAATTAAACAAGTAACTGCAGTCATCAACCAGTAGATGTAGAGATTATTCACTATAAAACAAAACCAAATAGCTAAGGATGTATACTTGCTTGCACAAGTAAATTCATCTAGAAGGAAACCCAGAACTGCTTTAGAACCAATAAAAATTCAGTAACCTGACATGCACTGTTGCCTTACCTTCAGCAATTGCTCCAAGAACAAGGATACCAGATTCTTTAACTACCCATTCATGATGGAAAAGCAATTCCTTCAAAAGGGGCAAGATGTGTGGCAGAAGTTCATCACGAAATACATTAGCCAGGACATCTAGAGCAGCAGCAGAACATTTCCCTGAGGGGAATTAACAATGTTAATCTTATTATACAAGCAGTTGTATTTAAAAAGTATGATCCTCATTTTAACTTTGAGCTGCCAGTGATGCCTTAAGTTCTTAAGTTTTATCTTTCATATTTTTCAGATTATGTACTGCCTTAGTGTGTAACTCTGAACTTCATATTAAATGCTAGCAAGTTCTCTTCACAGTTTAGTTAGACAAAACAATCCTTTTCCAGCCTGAGAACCAAGGACACCATTGCAGCTTCGGGCACAGAAAGCATAAACAACAGTGAATTGAAGAGAGCAAAGCAGGAGGATGGGACTTCATAACCTGAAGCTGTAATTGGACAATTAACCCAAATATAAATGAACCAAAACTTATAAAAGTGTGAAAACTCATGACTGGTCATCCTTCTTGCGACCATCTTGGGTGTAGCCCTGGCCAGGCTCTTGTACTGCTCAAGGGGTATCCATTAGGCCTTTTAATAAATACCTACTTTATTCTTTAACTCTGCCTAGTCTCTGTTCTAGGTCAGCCTCTTTAGGCATCACCAGGGTATCAGGAGGAAAGATATTTTAATTTCATTACAATACACAGGGATCCATTGTGCTCTGGTACAAAGCCATAGCTTTTAGGGAGCCATTTTTGCAGAATTTTTATAGCCACTAAAAGGACTTATACACTAGGGATTTTAAAACACTCACTGACAGGTGATGTACTTTGGACCTGATTAGCATAAGAGATTTTGATGATCAGGATGCCTTGGCAAGAACAAACAGAGCAAGAAGACTGAATTAAGAGAGAAGATTGAATCGAGTTCTACAAACAAGAGATGTTGCAAAATGTATGTTTATATGATGATTAACCCAAACACTGTAGTAAAAAATTACTAGCCTTCCTAGAATAGCATATAAGCATATGTAGTCCACAATAAATTTGGATTCTGACCACCACCACTCAGTCTCCCTGCCTCTCTCTATCGCAAATAGACAGGAACCACACCATTATATTGCAACATTATATACACTACATAATTTCAGGATGGTGTAACACTACAAAAGAGGGAAGGTCTGTGACATGAATGCAACATACTGAAGAAATTAAGGAGAAATAGCAAAAAAATACTAGCAAGTGATTAAAAAGAAAATGTTCAAACATGACCTATGTCTCAAAGCAAAAAAAAGTCAAAATCATCAATCTCTAGAGACTGAAAGAAATTTGCTGACTTTTGCTCTGAGCTAGCTCCTAATTCTGTGATGGACCTATACAAAGAACACTACTTTGAAATTTGTTTGAAAGTGTTTAAACTCATATTTTAGCACACAAAACCTCATAAAAGAACAGTTTCAAAACATGATTCAAAAATCCTTACTCTGGTTTTCTGCTGTGGGGCTGACATGTTTAGAAAAATAATGCTAAGATGGATTTATAAAGAATGCTCGTATTACAGAATTTATACAGTATTTTTTTCCTTGATTCAATTGAAACAAAAGTAAATACAAAACAGGTAATCAGGCAAAATATACACAGCAAATGCAATATGCAAAATTCCTAAACTGGATCTAAACTGCTAGTGGGCCCAAGCAAGACACAGACAGTTTTTCGCTTGGGAGGTAGCAACTACTAGAATAGATAATAAATACAAACTTTTTTCTACTCTGCTTCTAGATGTTGTCCAACAGGTTTGAATAAAATCAAACATGAGCCTTCAACTCAGAGCAGATCTCCACTAAAAAACAAAACACCACAGACTCCCCAACACCAGCACCTGCTGCTTCAGCTTAGACTGTTTTAGCTTTCTACTAGAGGAAAAAAAGGTGGACTCCCATATTTAGTTACCAGGTCTCATTACTAACCAATGCTGCTGTGTCAGGCTATGCTGACATTACCTCTCTGTTCAAATTGGAAGTCAAGTATAGAACAGTGGATAAGAAATAGGGCATACAATTCTGAAATTCAGATGATCCAAATTCTGTCAATTACAGATAACATAAAACAGATTTCTTAACTGTTCTGTTTTCTCTCTTTCCCAGGGAGCTTTAGCTTCCTCATCTTCTTAACCAAAACTGTGGACCACACAGCACCCTGTCATTTCAGTTATGTTTTCCATGAAATATTGATTTAATTCTGCAATCTCTACACACAATGACTAAAAGAATAGCATTATGAATTTAAAACTATAAAAAAGATACTTTACAAGGGAAAATATATTTGTGCCTTTTGTCTTCTAAATTATAATAATAATAACAGTATTATCGGTATTAGTATTATTTCAAAATTTAGATATGTCTCAAAATTGTTTGATCCATAAGCTTCAAGGCACCTTCATCTGTACTACATCTGAACTACTGGTAATAATGGTCAGTAGTAGCATGTAGGCGGAAGAAAAAAATCAAACACAAACCAGATATAGAGGGAAGACTGAACTAAAAGAAAGCATTATTAAGCTAAGAACAATGTGTAAGATTGTATTGGATCTGGCTGAGCTGGAATTCATTTCCCCATAGCAGCCCTCACAGCACTGTGCTTTGCGTTTGGAGCTGGTAAAGTGTTGTTTAGACACCAGTGTTTTGGTTACTGCTGAGCAGTGCTGGCATAGCATCAGCACTGTCTCAACATTCCACCCCCCATCAGTAGGGTAGGGATGGGCAAGATCCTGAGAGGGGACACAGCCAGGCCAGATGACCCAAACTGACCCAAGGCATATCCCATACCATATGATGTCAGCTCAGATATAAAAGCTAAGGGAGGGAGGAGGAAGGGGATGGCATTCATTATTTATAATGTTTGCCTTCTGAAGCAACCCCTACGAGTGCTGAAGCCCTGCTTCTGGGAAGGTACTGAACATCGGTCACTGATGGGAAGGAGAAAATAAACCTATTTTGCTTGCCTCTTTCTTTGTGTGCACATTAACTTTCACTTTTGCTTTAGTAAACTGCCTTATCTCAATCTACTAGTTGTTTTCCATTTTCTCTCCCCTGTCCAGCTGGTAAAGGGAGTGATATAGAGTGGCTTGGTGGGCACCTGGCATCCAGCCAAGATCAACTCACCACAAAGACTTTTACTAAAGTAAACAGGAATACATGTTTTGTTATTACCTTGTAGAATTAAAATTCAAAATCCAAAGCTTCTGTTGAATTGCATCTAGTAGATGTTTGCAGCTCTATTGGCCATATTCAAAATAAGTTTAGAGGTGGCTAGATTTTTCAATAGTTACATAGTCAAAACATCACCTGAAAGACTCCCCTCTGCCCAAAACACCAATTATATCAGCAGATAGTTCATTTTCTATTCAAAAGCAAACCTCAGTATTCTTATACAAAAACTCCTTTGTTTACTGTGGTTCTTGTATTATGCAAGTAGCTACATTTTAAAACATTTTACACATTACTTTGACATACTTAAATTCCAGTCAGAAATAGTATCATCATCATCAAGATCATTGTCATCATCATCATCATCATCATCTTCAATATGATCTTCTTCATGTGGCTGAGCTACTGTCCGCGAACGATGAAAACGAGGTCTTATGTCCTGTTCACTATCTGGAATAGCTTCATCTTCTTCAACATCCCCCTGTCAAAAAATGTTTTATCAGATAAACCAGTGCAACCATATTGCTCAAGGAAGTTAAGAATGTAGTGCAAATTTTAGTTCAATATTTTATAAACATGTGTGAAATTCACATCCCACTTGTGCTGTCTAGCTAGCTAAAAATGTCATTGTTCCTGCATTGTGATACAGTATTTACCAGAAAAATTTCAGGAAAACAGAAGCAACAGAGGTAATCTCACAGAAAAGCACAAAGTACTCTTATTGTTAAGAAATTACTCTTCATGGGAAGGAATTAGAAAGAAGAAGAGATAGAGAAATTCTAGTACACAGACACATTCTAAAATGTTGGGATGGAAAAAGCTGTGTAGTGCAAGCTAGAAGGGCATTAAAATTAATTCTGATAATTTCTTTATAGGCTGCTTTGCTGCAGTCATTCATGGGTAAAAGTATCCCAGCTCTGCCAAAATTTGGTGGAAGGGGAGAGGAGCAAAGCAGGGAAACCCACAGATTATTTTCCAACAAACATGGCAGCAGTCGCATTCAGTTTTTGGAACAGCACACCTTGCCCCAGAAAGCTAAATCTCCATTGAATAGATGGCAGACCAGATCTGGTCTACCAGCTCAACCATTCTGATTTACAAGTCAGAAGCTAACCAGATATTCTTACTGAGTATAAAAGAAAGGAATGCTTACCTTTAACAGAATAATATCAATCTCTGAATATTTCATACCATTTACCAGCACAGGTATCAGTCTACAAAGAAATATTGATACATGTCAAGAAGGAAGACCCTGGTAACTACAGGCCTGTCAGTCTCACTTCAGCACCTGATAAAATTATGGGGAAATTAATTCTGGGACTTATTGAAAAACACCTGAGAGACAATGCAGTCATTGGTCACAGCCAGCATGGGTTCACGAGAGGGAAGTCCTGCTTAACCAACTTAGTTTCCTTTTACAAGGTCACCCATCTAGCTGACAAAGGGACATCAGTAGATGTGAGGATTTTTGGATTTTTAGCAAAGCTTTCAATACTGTTTCTCACAGTATCGTTCTGCACAAAATGTCCAGCACACAGCTAGAAAGGTTTATAATAGATTGAGTGAACAACTGACTGACAAGTCATGCTCAAAGGGTTATAGCAAATGGGGTCACATCAGACTGGCAACTGGTTATCCGTATATTCCCCAGGGTTCAATTTTAGGGCCAGTGCTCTTTAATGTTTTGATAAATGATCTGGAAGCAGGAATCAAATGTACATTAAGAAGGTTTGCTGATGATACTGAAGTAGGAGGAGCTGTGGACTCCCTGGAGGCAGAAGCACCCTGCAGAGAGACAGACAAATGAGAGGGCTGGGCAATCACCAACCATATGGAGTTTCACAAAGAAAAGTGCCGGATTCTGCACCTGGGATGGGGCAACCCTGGATGTACAAACAGGAGAACAAGAGGCTGGAGAGCAGCACTACAGAAAGGGACCTGAGGGTTCTGGTCGATGGCAAGTTGAATGTGAGTCAGCAGTGCTCTGGCAGCCAGGAGGGCCAACCATATCCTAAGGTGCATCAGGCACAGCATCAACAGCTGGGCAAAGGAGGTGATTGTTCCACTCTGCTCTGCACTGGTGCAGCCTCACCTCGAGTGCTGTGTGCAGTTTTGGGCATCACAATATAAGAAAGATATAAAGCTATTAGAGAGCATCCAAAGAAGATGGTGAAGGGTCGCAAGGGCAAGACTTATGAGGAGTGGGTGAGGTCACTTGGTCTGTTCAGCCTGGAGAAGAGAAGGCTGAGGGGTGACCTCATTGCAATCTACAACTTCCTCAATGGGGCCAGCGGAGGGGGAGGTGCTGATCTCCTCTGTCTAGTGACCAGTGACAGGACCCAAGGGTATGGAATGAAGCCACATCAGGGCAAGTTCAGATGGGACATTAGGAAAAGGTTCTTCACTGAGAGGGTGGTCAAGTCACTGGAACAAGCTCCCTAGAGAAGTGGTCATGGCACCAAGCCTGGCAAGAGTTCAAGGAGCATCTGGACAACACTCTTAGTCATATGATTTAGTGTTAGATAGTCCTGCAAGCAGCAGGGAGTTGGTTTTGATGATCCTTATGGGTCTCTTCCAACTTAAGAGATTCTATGATTCTATGTCAAAATAACACATAAATGAAGCAAGCTGGTTTTCAGTTAGCTGGTCAATAATTTTGGCTGTAACCACACTTCCCCTCCCCTCAACAACAACAAAAGAAAACCAACACAAAAAATCCCAGACAAAAACTTAGCCTAATAACAAGTCAGCACCTTAACCATACTCCATTTCATTCAGTTCATTAATACTTTGTAATATGAAAAAGTGTTAATTTCTAACTAGATGTAGCCAGATGGCACAATTGAGTGTTACACTTTAAAAATAGGATATTCTTCCACATGATGAAATCTATTTTGAAGTACCTTTCAGAAATTAAGTCAAAAGCTTTTAAGTAAGAAGTCACACTTCCAAAATATGTTTGATAAACAAGTTAGTACGTTGGCTCTCCTGTATACCATTTGTCACTTTACTTACCTGTGGCTGAAAATTCTACCTCGCTACTCTTAAGGATGGGAGTCTAACTACATCGAGCCCTCCTATCCTTTTGTCATTACTTCAAGTATCACTCCTTAAGACAAGTCCCTGACTTTGCAGAGATCTTGACATTAGTCATCATTAGTCTTTATTAGAACTTTACTTAGTTATTAAACTGGTTATGGCCATGGGTCCCCAATGGTTATGTTGTATGGCAAAAAAAAGGACTAGGGGAAAAAAGTCAAGTATTTCACATATAAACACATTCACTACAAAAATTAATCTGTAAAAATAAATATATGTATTACATGCCAAATCAAGTGAATACTAAAATCACCATGGACTGACCAAGCAACAGCAACAGACTCAGTCTCTCTATATTCTGCAGCCGAGAAGTATTGTTTCTGAAGGTATTCAGACCAGCAATAATAGTCATGCATCTCAATGGCAATATGAACTAAACAAAAATTTCCCTCAAATTACAACTGGAACATGGCATTAACCTGTGTATAGGCACAGAGGCAAGAGGCAACCACACCACTGCTCTGTGGAGCAAGAGAGATTGATTTTAGTCATGGGGGCTTTGTGGTGGTGCACCCCCTCCATCCTTGGGCCTGCCCTATGACCTCAGAAACTCCGGACAAATCTTGACTCAACCAGCTGAGCAGTGAAGCATCCCTTGACCGTACCACTTGGGCACTGAAGCATCTCTGACTCTGCCAGGAGCTCTTGCATGATATAGGTGGGAACAACACTGACCATGACAGGAACATCATCTGCCTGACCAAAGTGAAGAACAAGGATATGCAGTTATCCTTGTTAGCCTCGGTAAATAATTTACATGATTCATAGCCCAAGTGAAGTGGTACCATTGTTACAAAACCTTTTTAAAATTAATCACAGTCCAAGCGGAATGGTACCATTGTTACTGGACTTTCTAGGAAAAAAGCCCAGTAGTTACCAACTTGGGTCAGTGAGGCCCTTTGAGCTCTCCTGGACTGCAGTGGGCTGAGTCAGCACCTCCCTCTGAGTGGGGCCTCTCAGAGCTCGCAAACCTTCAAGTTTGTGATACTCAAAGGACCATCACTGATGATGAGGCCTAGGCTGATATTTCCCCCCCATTTCCATGCTCCCATAGGTGCAACCCTTGCCTGTTGGGAAACGCAAAGGAAATGGACGTATTTCACTGAACCTGAGGGGAGCTCTTGATAGGTATATTTACACACACAGAAATAGGTGTAGACATGAGTTTACCTGTGCATGTGTAAATTGATTACGGTATGAATGTTTTTTAGAGTGAATCTATAATTTAGTCACTGTTATAACTGCAATAAATCCTACTGAATAACTTTTCAAATGTTAGATTAGTCAATGTTTAAGTGCTGCTAAAGTCTTCTGCACCCTTATCTTTTGCATACATATCCTTTGCACCCTTATCCCTGTTTGCATTCCTGGTCTCCATGCAAATAATTCTAAATTGATTCTAATCCAATTTTCCTATGTATGCTTCTTCTATGTAGTAATAGAGTGAATCTTGCCATCAAACTGTAAAGTCACACTTTCACAAATACATATTAAAACTTGCTTTTTGCCAGTACCTTTGATGGTGAGTCTGAGAAGCTGAAACCACTTGTTCACAACAATTACCTTCTCAACTTTCAATGAAAGAACACTAAGTAGTCAGATTAACACCCATTACTTGGCATTTCTGCAGCATACTTCATGAAGCATGCAGGAGGTATAAATTTTATCAAAAACCTACAGGGGCAAAATGGAACAAGATATTGAACAGGTTTCTAGAAGATCTTGCTCCACTTAATCTAATATAAAAAACCCCCTAAGGTTATAATCAAGTATTGTCAAATTTATATAGCTCCTTAATCAAAAAGACTCACCAACAAACAAGTTGCTTTCAACAAAAATGACACTGAAAGATAAAAGATATGTAATGTTACTCTTTTCTGTTTTACTAGAAATTTAAAAGCTTCTTAAAAAAAGCCCAAAAACCAGGGATGAAGCTGTTGGAATGTCAACGTTCATGTAGGACAGAAGAGGTTTACAATTTATACCGAGAAGGTGACTAGTATTAATATGTGTGTTGGGAAGGAGGCAGGTAGAATCAAAAACTGTGTTATCATTCTTTTGTATTTTTAGCTATAAGAGTAGGATTTAAGTAGAAACATTTTAAAACTGAAAAGTGATTTCTTGTAACATTGGTTCTTCTCTTTTCAAATCCTATTCCTGTACTGCTACAGCAGCTGCTTTAATCTCCATTCTGTTTTCTAAATGCTTATGAAAACTGAAATTTGGGAAGTCCCTCCCTTTTTTTAACAATTGCTTTACATCTAAAATGGTCGTTTTTGCTGAAAATAATGCATCTCTTCTCTCCACACTTTCACTGGAAGAGCAGAATCACAGACAGAACTGTGTTAGTGTTTTCAAAAACCTTCCAAGCATATATCAAAAATTGGGTCCTCATTTACTGGGAACACTGAAGAATCTGTTTCCTATTGAAAAAGTCTTTAGTCTGGAAATAGGTTATTAGCACAGTTGAAGACATGCAGATGTTCAAATCTCAAGCATGGGTGTTCAATTCCCGTTCAATCAAGGATCTACATTTTAAATCTTATGATAATTTTTGAAACTTACAAAAAAGTTTTTGGAGCTTAAAAAACTACTGTCAGTCTGAAGAAGCATGAAAAACACATTAAACATGCTTTCAAGTTTAAATTGCTCTGGCAATTGATATGAAATTGATTCCTAAATCTAAATGATCTTGTCATTTTGTTATGTCTTCATAAAGATGAGAAACTCCTGGCATGACTATTCACATAGAAGCATTGCACAGAAATGCTCACAATAGCAGTTGTCAAGAAAACATGTTCACGGTACACCAGATATTATAGGTAACGTCACATGGAAATGTTTGTTTAAGCTCAAGCACACGTTAGTATACCTTTGCCTCCATCTCATACTTAACAGGATGTTAGGCTTGAGATAAAGCATCAGTGCCACAGTTTACGTTGCCTCAGGGGCCAAGTCTGAAATGTCAAAAGTCTTTTCAGTGACCTCTGTGATACAGCCATTTTTAATATGTACAAGAAGTAGCTAGAAGAAACTCCTCCCAAGCATACAGCAAGCTAGATACAGTCTCCAAAAGAGCAACCAGGAAAAAGTTAACTGAAGTTTAAGGATGACTATTTCAAAATGACTGGTTCTAATTCTTAATACTTACTTAGCAAGATGCCGACATAATACATCTTTACAAATTGGCTGTTCAGCCAAAGTCAGCCAAAACTCGCAAGCCTCCAAAGCAACATTTTCATCTTGGTCCTGGGTCCTTTGAAGCATATACTACACAAAAAAAAAACAACACAATCTTGTGTAAGTTTTAAGTGAAGAAGCTATCAACATTGCAAAGTGTGTTTGCAAAAATAAACTATGCTCCCAGAGTAATTTTGTTTCTTTGGGGCAATGGGAAGAAACAGGTATAAAAGACTACTTAAGGCTATAGTGAGAATAAGCCAAGACTTATTTCTCATTGCTAGATGATTCAGATTCTAAGTTTTTTCCCAGTTTAAGTGAGAACATTATTGCCAAGAAACTATAGACAGAGACCCAAGATAATAAACAGTTTCCTGAGAATAGAGGGGGGATTTAAAAATTATTTTACCTCTCCTTTTGAATAAAAGAGTACAATTACACACTTGGTAAGATGGAAATACTTTTTATATCCAGTACCATAAAAAAGCCTCTCTTTCAAATATTGATTATCTGACAGGATGCAATTAAGTAGAACTCATAACAGGGGAAAAAAAAGTCTCACTTTTTCCAAGTATGAATGGTAATTCAGAGATTCAGTGTCAAATCTTTAAGCTTGCTGTTAAAATTTAAACCCCCTTAAACAAAAAATAATCAAATACCTGCATAAGCAGAAAGGCTAAATATACCATGGCTACATCAGTTTCTTGTACATGACTTCCAAAGCAATTTAGAGAAAGTGCTTGCAACTTCCAAAACAGTAATTTTTGCATTCTTCCATGCAGCTCATTTCTGAAACAGTTGGTCCTTCCACTCATTTTAGAAGCCTCATGGAAGTCCATGCAGCTACCTTTCATCACACATTGATTTAAAATGAAGAAAATAAATTCTCCTTCAGAATACCATTTTGTTCTCAAAATTAAATAGAATGGGACAACCTATATTATCCTTATGCATTTCAGGGATGCAAGATTTGCAACAAACATATCCCTTTCTACAGAACTGCATTCCTACAGGGCTGCATCCAAAGCAGCATGGGCAGAAGGTGGAGAGAGGGGATTCTCCCCTTCTATTCCGCTCTCTTGAGACCCCACCTGAAAAACTGTGTCCAGCATTGGGGTCCCTACACAAGAAAGACATGGACCTGTTGGAGCAAGCCCAGGGGAGGCCACAAAGATGCTCAGAGGGCTGGAGCTCCTCTTCTATAAAGACAGACAGAGAGAGTTGGGGCTGTTCAAACTGGAGAAGTGAAGTATTCAAGACCTTCTAGCACCTTCCAGTACTTAAAGGGGTTCCAAGAGAGCTCAAGAAGGACTTTTTACAAGGGCATAGAGTGATAAGAACAGGAGGAATGGTATTATGCTGAAGGAGGGTAGGTTTAGATTAGATATTTGGAAGAAATTCTTTACCTTGAGGGTGATGAGGGCCTGGCACAGGTTGCCCAGAGAGGTTATAGACTCCTCCCCATTTCCGGCAGTGTTCAAGACCAGTCTGGATAGGGCTCCAACCAACCTGGTCTAGCAGAAGGTGTTCTTGCCCATGTGGGGGAGGTTGGAACTAGGTGATTTTTAAGGTTCTTTCCAATCCAAACCATTCTGTGATTCTATGAAATGCACTAAATTGCAAGTGTTTCCTAAAAGGTCATTATTGTGATTAAGAACTGATGGCAACAAAAATACTGCTCTGTTCTGAGTTATGAACAGATTACAGCTTGGAAAATTTGAAAAATGTCCTATCTATTTGTCTGTAAACTGCATGCTGCTTCTCCCTCCGCTTCACCCTCTCTCTCTCTGGGCCTAGCTTAAAGCTAGCTACAAGACCCATTTCTGGGCAAGAGAACAGATGATGGGGATACCAGCATCATAAAGTCACCCCAGGACATCATTGCAAGCAAGGTTAATACAACTGAAGTGATTTGGCATTTTTCCCCAGATGGCTTGAAAATCAACACTTTTGTTGTATTCAGTTATTTGCCACAAAGACAAAACCAGAATGACAAAAAGTAATGGCTGTTTGAAGGTTCTCCTCACACTGTCATTTCGTCTTTAAGCACATTTTATAATATATGCTCCATGAAGTTAGATAGCAGTAGATTGAAAAGGCTACTTACACTCAGTGGTATAAGAGCCATATACACAGTCTGGAAATCATAAAATGTTTTGGGTTGGTGTCCTGGTTTGAAAAGGAAGTGAGTTTTTTGGGATGCTGTGGTCAAACCAATAGGTGCTCAGATTTGAATATTGGCACCTCGTGTGGCAACGGAGGACATGAATACGCCTCTGAGAACACGGGTGGTTAAAAGCAGAGAACTCCCAGGAAAACTTTCTCTTGGGTTCTGTTTGTGAAAGAGGTCAGGCCTCCCCTGCCCAGCTGCAGGTTGGGCGGGGGAGGGGAAGCCATGCGGCCGGGTGAGGTAGGCCAGGCCTTGGACAGAGAAGGGAGGTGAAGGCCCCTGCAGGATGGAAGGGTGGAGGAACACTGAGAGGCATCGGTCAGCCACGCCATCCCCACCCCGTCCCCTCCAGGAGAGAGAGAGAGAGAGAGCTGGTGCCTGTGCTGTGCCACCTTGAAATTTGATAGCATGGCCAGCTGAGAAGGAGATGGGGGAGGGGTGTGGTGAGAAGGTGCCCGGCAGGGCAGCCATGGGAGTTCTAGACAAGCAGAGCCTGAGATTTTTAACCCTTTTCTTGAATAATGGAAACCGTGCAAATGCTGATCCTCCTGGAGTTGAATGAGAAGAGAGATAGAGATGAGATAAGAGGAAATGGGCCACAAGAGAAGTTGAGAAGAATCTTAGGTGGGAGGGATGAGGGAGTGGCCTTTGGCTGGACTTTTCTTGTATAGCCATGGACAGAACCATTTTTCCTGTGACACAGAGACTGCATTTAGGGGGAGGCAATGGCTTGGAGCCAAGAGAGTGCAGTGATGTTATGTGAAGGAGTATGTGAGCAGAGATGACGGGTGAGGAGGGTGGTGGTGCCCTCGATCTTCAGGGAAGAAGAAGACCTCTCTTCTCAAGACCCCTTGGCCACAGGGGGTGAATTTGGGAGGAACAGGTGTCCCGAAAGTGAGAGACTGTGCTTCTTTTTGGAACTGGGCAAAGCATCCTTAAAAGGGGAACCCTAGAAGCAGCTCTGGTCCATGTGCAGTGGTGAGAGCACTGGGCATGGAAGGAAGATGTCACGATGGCAAATGATCTCCAGGCAGTGCCACGAGTGACATGGCAACACAAGAGGTCTCAACTGTGTTTCCAGGGGAAGCCTATGGTGCAAGAGGGACTCCTCTCTTCTTGATGAACTGAGAACTGATTATCTAAAGGGTGGTGATGGACTGAGAGTTGATGATCTGAGGGGTGGATATATTGGAAATTTGGTGGGGGGAAGAGGAATGTTTTTTGGAAGGTTTTCATTCTGAGTTCTGTGTGTGTTTCTTTTTATATATAGTTGTAGGCTAATTAAGTTTTTCTTCTTTATTCCTAAGTTGGAGCCTGCTTTGCTCTAGTCCTAAACACATCACACAGCAGACATCAGGGAGCATATATTTTCATGGGGGCACTGGCATTGTGCCAGCGTCAAACCATGACAGTTGGAAAGGACCATAAAGATTATCCAGTTCCAATCCACCACCATGGACAGAAACACCTTTCACTAGACCAGGTTGCTCAAAGCCCCATCTAACCTGGCCTTGAACACTTCCAGGGATGGGGCAGCCACAACATTGCTGGGCAACCTATGCCAGGGCCTCATCACCCTCACAGGGAAGAATTTCTTCCTTCCTAATATCCGATCTAACCCTGTTCTCTAACAGTTTAAAACCATCGTCCCTTGTTCTGTCACTACACTCACTGATAGAATCCTTCCCCATGTTTCTTGTAGGCCCCCATAGTAAAAACAGTGATACTAGTATCACAGCAAAGTATGGGAAGAGTATTTGAAGGCTTTTAGGTTTTTTTAGCATTCTTGTGCCATACTTTATTGAGTACTTTTAATGATAAGCTAAAAAAGTGACTTTAGACAATGGAAATAGTTGCTTCCTGACAAAAAATTACAAAATAGCATAGGAACATTATTCAGAACTGGTTTGCATACTCTGTAACAGTGTTGTGTTAGTCTTGCTATGTCAAACCATCAAGAAAAGAACGATGCACAATGCATTAAGAAAAATTCGTTCAGCAGTAAAAGATGTTTATCTGAAAACAACAGGATGCAAACAATCTTATTTCTTTAGCAACAAGCTGAGTTTCTGTGTTTGAACTTCATATTATCAACACCTTTCAAGTAATCTCATTATGCATTGTAAAATAAAAAGTCAGGATTTCTATTAAAAAAGATCTTAGGCACTACATGCCTGGCTAAATATGCTATATGAATATACAAGTGCAATCTAATAACTGAAATCTATTAGGTCAGTCTACTTCTGATATATCCTGTTGTCATTTTCTCAGACAAAAGAAGGAGAAAAAAAACCCCACAGAGAAATACATATCTGCTTCTGATCACCTGGAAGTACATGTTCAAAAAACCCACTGAAATTGAAATTCAACCATCCCTGTTCCTCCAGGAACTTGTCAAAACAGTTAATATTAAACATGTCTAGTTTAAAAGCATTACACTGCAAGACCTTGTCTTAGAATCACTACCAAATTATTAATATTCTTAACTACTTTAAATGTAATTCTCCATAAGCATAAAAAACCCTGTCATGTGGAGGGTTTTTCATGAAACATACCAGTTTCTTTCTTTTTAAGAATTCCTTCACTTAGAGCAGCCGCTATTAGAAGCATTCAACTTGGAGGTACTCAAGTTTCAAAACAGCAAAACCAGACTCATTTGAATGAAAAATAGTCAGTTCTCAGATATTACACTGTCACATATTAATATGTATGTATACAGAACTGGGCAAATCAGTAACAGTACACAATAGTCCCAGAACTGCGGAGGAAAGGAAGTCTGATCTTCAGAAAAAATTCACTGCTGCTGTCTTTTGTAGAGAAGATGCCTAGTAATAGTTTTCCCAAAAAAAAAAAAGGGAAACAACAAGAATACAATCTTGGATCTTCTGGTTGCTGACATAATTTCTACCTGCAAAGTCCAGAAGTTACTTACTGATTTGTTTGCTGACAACCCCAAGTTGTGTGGTGCGGTCGACATGCTGGAGGAAAGGAATTGCATCCAGAGGGACCTGTACAGGCTCAAGAGGTGGCTCTGTGCAAACCTCATAAAGTTCAACAAGGCCAAGTGCAAGGTCCTGCACCTGGTCAAGGCAATCCCAAGCACAAGTACAGGCTGGGCAGAGAATGCATTGGGAGCAGCCCTGCCGAGAAGGACTTGGGAACAGCAGTTGACAAGAAACTCAACATGAACCCGCAATCTACACTCGCAGCCCAGAAACCGTGTCGTAGGCTGCATCCAAAGCAGTGTGGCCAGCAGGTCAAGGGCGGGGGGGGGGGGTGAGGATTCTCCTCCTCCACTCTTGTAAACATAAGGAGGATGTGGAGCTGCTGGAGTAAGTCCAGCAGAGGCCACGAAGATGCTCAGAGGGCCTGAAGCACCTCTGCCATGAAGACAGACTGAGAGAGTTGGGAGTGTTCAGTCTGTTTCCAGTTCAGAAACCTGTTCAGAAAAGAAGGCAGATTGCAGAGCACTTTCCAGTAATGGAAGAGGGGTTGGAACTAGATGATCTTTAAGGTTCCTTCCAACCCAAATCATTCTAGGATTCTATGATTGCAGGAGGGTGAAGAGTCAGAGAAGTTATCACTTGTTGACAATATAATCTTCAAAGCTTTACTCTCTCTCTCTCCAAAAAAAACCAACCCCAAACCAGACCAAACAAAAGAAAAAAAAAAAAAAAAAACTACCTCAAGTACCAACAATGCCTACTTGTCCTGTGTTAGATGAGAAGATATGTGCCAGGCTTGGTGTCATGGAATTCCAGACAACACTAGAAAAATACTGCAAGTCACCTCAATTTTATGCCTCTCTAATGCCTTTGTCCAGAAGCACAAAAAAAAACCAAACAAACCTGCTTCATATTGTCTGGACTTGGCACTTATGGAATTTGACACTGGATTATGACCCATTTGTTCTTATATGTGCATGAGAAATATTCTGATCTTTGTTCTATTTCCAGTCTAGCAAGTAGTGTATATAAAGGCTATCTAGAAACTGCCACTGTTTCCCAGGAACATAGAAATTACAACTCAGTTGAGCAAACAAGTACCAGTTGATTGGTCTTCTGGTAGGCAAGTCTGCACTAATCTAGAATAATCAAGGAACTATCCAAGGACATCCACCTATAAAACTGAATGCAATGGCAGGCAGTTTTGTTAGTAGCTCAAAGAGCATCTCAGATATTTAAAATTACATTCCTTATCTTTGCTGTGGCAAAAGAGCCAAAAAGGTGACAGCTTCACTGTGTAAACTGTAACAATATCAGCACCAGAAGGAAGATTTTTAACGTGATCTCACTTGTGGTCAGGCAATGCCTGGCTGCTCCATGGCATAGCTGATCTTGGCCATTTCAGGATCAATTAACTTAAAGAAGAATGAAGAACTGCCATATGCACTGTCAAATACAATGTCATGTTGGCAATTAGCTAAAAAGAAACTTTTGCAACTTCAGTCTTGAAGGAAAACAAAGAGTAGGCAAGCACAAATGGAAAACACAAGCACAAAAGTAACACACTCATTCTGATGTATGCTTTTAATTTGCTATTATTTTTGCAATTCCAAACATGCTTCAGCATACAATCAGAGAAATAAGACTCACCTCAACTATACTAATCATATGAGGAAGCAGGCGATCCATTCGAACTTCTAGCAACATTACCAGAGCACGACAAACATTTTTGCGTACTTCAGGCTCCTCATCACCAGCCAGTGCAAAAAGATTCTGTTGGAAAGTAATACCAGTAGAAAAGCCTCAATTCATCTAGTTCAACTTGTATTAAAATTTACATTATTGGCAAACTAAAGTATGCAAACATGTACTTCTGTACCATCCCATCCCACACCTCAGAAAACTGTATTATTTCCTAAAGACATATGGTCTAGCAAATGAACTCTTCAGACTTTCAATGTGTATTGTTACCCAGTGTTTTGGTCATGTGTACATTAGACACAAGAACAGTAATCTCTGATTTTTTTTCCTTACACATTAATTAAGTTCTGAAGATAGAAAATGCCTTCAGAACATAACAGCAGCAAATAAAATACACCCTGGATAAGCCAAAATCTCATCCTTCTAATCCACATTCAGTAGTAGTATTCAGAGAGACCCTTAATCTACTCAGTGACATGATGGTCCCTGTACCGAACTCTCCGTCACACATGTGACAGACTGCTGCCAGTACCTCTATGCAAGAAGAGTTTCCTGTATTTATTAAAAGAAAGCATTTTCAAAACACTATTTCCTTGGGCTGGGAGAGTGCTTAGACTAATTTAAGCATAAACATGCAGAATTACTTTAAACCCATGGGGATTGAAGCTAGGAATGGGAAGCCATCAATGTGGAGTTTAGGGGTAGTGGAGGTTGTAAAACATCATTTAAAGTTCTTGATAAATTAGATATGTTATTTGACTTACCCCTCCAAGCAAAAATGCACTCACCTCAATAAAAGAATCTATGTGCAACATAAGAGCTTGAGTTCTGCTGATAATAAATTGATTGACACATGCAACAGCATGAGACCTACAAATTGAACAGTTAAAATATATAAATTTTTAATGTCTTAAACATTTTCTAAACTGTACAAAGGCATCACAGACATTAGGAAGTAAATAACACCATGTCTTAGGTTGCAAATGCAAGATGTGGCTGGGGGGTGTGTGTTCTACTGCCATCTGTTAGAGGTGGGGCAGTTATGGTCTGTTTATTACGCCTCCTGTTAAAACCAGGTGGAGTAGTTTTCTTTATCTCTTCAACAACCAATCCTCCCTCTGGGGAGATATCTTCTGTTAATGGGCCATTGAGTGTCACTGCATAACTGATAAAATCACATCATCCCATTATGAGATGCTCCGCCCAGAGGGAGGAGCCAGCATTCCTACCTGGATTTAATTGAAGATTTGGAACAATGCCATAGGCAGCCTTTTCTCACTGGATTCCCAAAGGAAGGTCAGGCCCATCTCTACTACCACTGGACTACATCCTTTCTACAGGCTCACTGTGTCAACAGAACTGCATCTATCACTCCAGGAGGACTGCAGCCACTATTTATTTGGACTGCTACCAACACCCTGACCAGCAGGGTGTCAGGTTGTATTCTGACTCTGTCAGTGTTGTTTTGTATTTCTGCATTTTTATTTTTATTTTTTCCTAATAAAGAACTGTTATTTCTACTCCAATATCTTTGTCTGAGAGTCCCTTAATTTCAAAATTATAATAATTTGGAGGGAGGGGGTTTGCATTTTCCATTTCAAGAGAGGTTCCTGCCTTCCTTGGCAGACACCTGTCTTTTCAAATCAAGACACACTGTCCAAGCATATTCTAGAGGCAGGGCAGGGAGGATTAAATCTGAACATCTATATTGTTACCAACAAAAATTAGTAAACCACATTTTTAAATACTACCATATACTCCAATATATCTAATAGATAATTTTAATTAAGGTATTCAGTAAATAAGAACCATAGCATGATGACTACCTGGCACATTTGTTCCAAATAGTATGTAAGGATGGTCTTTTTCAGTATATTATGATTATCAATTTTCTCTGATATTGTTGCCAGATGAAGACTCATTTGCACCTGGTGAGTGTCCTGGGGTGACGTTATGATGCTTGTATCCCCATTCGGATGTTCTGTGCCTTTAAGACTGGCTCCGAAGAGTGGAAGTTTTGCTTGGGTTTCTCTTATCAGGGACACAGAGACGGGCAGTACTTAGTGCTGCTTTCGCTTTTTGCTTTTGGCTTTCTGCTTTGCTCTCTCTCTCTCTGCTCTCGCTTCTGCTTGCTTTTGCTTCTGCTTATTAGCTAGTTCTAGCTAAACAGTCCAAATTCCTTCCTGGACTGTTTCTCCTCTCCTTTTCCTTTGATCATCTCAAACCTGCTCTGGACTGGGACCTGGGAACACCGAGGGTTTGCACCGTTTGGCTGCAGCAGCTGCTCCAGCGCTGGAGGGACTAACAGAGATACCACCCCCGAAAGAGACTTTCTGATTTTGTCATCTTTGTCAGAGTGGTGTCATCCGGTATTGTTCATTTTGTGTGCTGGGGAGTGCTGTGCCTGTTAAATAAACAGGTTCTTTCCACTTCTCTCTGAGGAATTCTTCCCAAACCGGTTGTGGGGAGGGGCTGTGTGGGTTTGCTTTCTGGAGGGGCCCTCCTTTGGAGATTCTCTACCAAATTTGCCCTAAACCAGGACAGTGAGCTAACACAATACTTATTCTTCAAGGACCACTAGCCTACAGAACCACACAATGTTTTCTGTAGGAAGAAGAACTGGAAATCAGCCAGCCCAGTTATGCCAACTTTTACCAGTTAAACAGGAGGTCAGGTGTGACTTTGGGGTTGCCAACCACCAGGGACCACCAAAAAGAACCTCAGGACAGAAAAACACATGTGTAAAAGGGAGGGGAAATATGTTAATTACTTTGGGGAAATTATTATAATACGTATGTTTCTTCTGGGAAAGCCTATGTATATGTATGTAAAATATAGCATATAAACAGGAGCTGTTTCTGTACTCAGGATGCACAATATTTCGGAGGAGCTATCCCCCTGGGCATTCGGCTAAATAAAGAATGCCTGCTTCTTAACGCTACATTAGTGTGAAGGAGTTTTATTTTCACTGATCTTTGGTAACAATGTTAACAATTCCATGCAAGTTAACATGGTGAAATTTTAGCATGCCCTTCTGTTGTAGTGTTTTTATACTTTGTAATAGTTTTGTTTTTGTATCCCCGTATTTTTCCCAAATGGTTTACCCCAGATTGTACCACCCTCCCTCTACCTGTGTAATCCCTTTCCTTTGCTGAGATCATCCCCAAATCCCCACCCTGGCTCTCTGTCAATCACTCAGCATCCCATCCCCTCTATCTAGAAGTTTTGGTCCAGGACATCGAGTGATTAAGCAGAGGCTAGGAGTCAACCCCCCAAGTGTTACCCCATACGCTATCCCCCAGTATCCATCCCTTAGGGTCACTTATTGGTTAGTAAAATGTTATCTACTTTCAGTTTCCACCTCCATTTAAATGTAACCTTGGCACCTCTCCCGGGGCTCTCAGCAGGAGGCCTCCTGAGGTGTAGGGGCTCCCCAGAGCTCCTAGAATAAAACCTTGGATTAACCCCTGCTAAGTCGGCCCTTTTATCTTCTACCGATGTCTCTGGTGTCTCCTCTGCTGCAATGGCGACTAGCCTAGCTGCTTTCAGTACCCTCGGGGCATAAGAGTGTGTCTCCGCTGTCGGCCGTGTTGGGGTTTCCCCCTCGCTCTCTGCCGACTCGGGACTGGCCGGGGTTCCTGAGAGGCTCCCAGAGAGACAGAGACAGCCTTCTTCATTGCTAAGTATCCAACTTTGCAAGATTTTTCCCATTTAATGAGACCAATATGCATCAGTAATATAGTTATAACTTAGAACAAATACACACTTGCATTAGGATACATAATAAAACAATTGTGGTAGAAACAAACCATAAGTGAAGAGCTGGTTCTTTATTCCATTCCATGGAAAGCCATTGCTTACAAGTCTTTTTCATTCTCAGAGACTCAAAAGCCAAATTATATAAGTAGAGGCACAGTATAAAGCTACCTTTAAAAGCCTCTGAAGATCCATTCATGTATTTTTACTAATCTAACTCCAAACATCTAGTCTCGTCAGACATTTCTTGGAAGAGAGTCTCATAAACAGGGTTCAAAAGTTCTCTCTTCACAGATTTAAATACTGATAATATTTAAATACTATTAAGTACTAATAGTATTTTACTGACACAATTAATATTCTTCATACTTCTGTACTATGTACTGAAACCAGGCAACAGGTCGGCAGATGATCTGCTTTAAAGTTGAAACTGGTTTACCAATTTCAAAGCAAAAGCTTATCTTCCTATAAGTGCCAGTTCATGCTTTGTTATATATTTTTCTTAGTGTGCATCTGTTTTAGGGGAGTTTCTAAATCTTATTAAATCCCATCAAGATTCATTCCTAGTTATACGCTTCCTTTTACTCTTCACCATTTATGCTAGTGCTGGCAATAACTGAGCCCTCCAAGTTGTAGAATCTTTTGATATAATTTTCAAAGAGGAGACCAAAAACACGTTTCAGAGAATCACTTAGAATGATTGAGGTTGGAAGGGACCTCTGTAGATCATTTGCTCAAGTAGGGCCACCAACAGCTGGTTGCACAGGACCACATCACAACAGTGTGAGAGACTGGAAGGATTGCTGTCTTGAAACATTTCAGGTGCATGTGTGGGGGAAGGGGCAGGTTGGGCCTTGCTCTGGTGAGGCAAGGCTCTGTTCCGCACACCCCACACCCCCTGGGGCCTGTATCCCAGCCCCTGCAGGGGCCACCAATCACTGGCACACTGGAGGCAATGCTCCACACCCTGCCCCTGGAGCCCCAATCTAGCCCCAGAGTGTAGCCACATCTCTCTTCACAGAGAAAAGCAAGGCACAATTCTTCCCTGGAATATTTCTGGGTTTCACATTCTCTGAATGTCAGAGAATGATCAAAACAATTCCTATCTTATTTGCTGTGCCTGTGTTGTGCCAAAGTAGAATGCAATATGGAGATTGTTTACCCAAAGTGATGGTGTTTAGTTTCCTTGGCCTATCAGGGCCAAGTGTGTGTGTCAGGACTGTCGGCTGACAGTCATGAGGTTCTGTGCAGTTGTGTGCAGAGTTGAGTGCTTGGCAGATTCAGTTTAGATGTAATGTAATATAGATGTAATATAGTATAGAATGATACAGTATAATAAAGCAATTAATTAGCCTCCTGATAAGATGGAGTCCTCCTCATCATTCCTCCCTGCCACAGGGGTCAGCCTGTTTTGATACCAGAGTGGTCAGATGACTGGAAGTCCCACCTGGGGGAAGGACCCAGGAAAGCCTAAGGGTATTTAACCAAGGACATGCGGATAGCATGTTTTGACCCTACTTCTTGAAATTTCTATCAGCTGAACATTGTGGAACCAGGAGTGGTAGCTATATTTGTTCTTTTCTATATCTTTTTTTTTGTCTCTCTCCTTCTTCTAATTCCCTCTTCTTGGAGTTTTGAGTAATTTAAAGTTGGATAGGCTAAGTTAATGCTTTGAGAAGTGTTTTATGTTGACTGAATGCTGCTCTAAACTTTTGCCAAAATTCTCTGATTTTACAAAGTTGACAGTAATTTTTTTTTGTTGTTTTGACCCCTTGTTAATATCTTGTCAGTATTTCTCCAGTGTGTCAAACTCAGAGTACATGAACAACCATAAGCCCTTTTAAGAGTCTCATCGAGCAAGTTTTCTGGGGCCTTACAGATGGCTTTTGAATATCTCCAATGATGGGGACTCTACCACCTCTCTGGGTAACCTGTACCAGTTCTTGGTCACCCTCACAGTAAAAAAAGTGCTTCCCACTATTCAGAGGGAACTTCCTGTGTCTCAGTCTGTGCCCACTGCCACATGTCCTGTCACTGGACACAACTGAAAAGAACCTGGCTCTGTCTTCTTTGCACCCTCCCTTTGGGTATTTATATACAGGGATGATGTCACCCCTGAACCTACTCTTCTCCAGGCTAAACAGTCCCAGCTTTCTCAGTCTTTCCTCATAGGAGAGATGCTCCAGTCCCTTTATCATCATTGCGGCCCTTTACTAGATCCATGTCTCTCTTGTACTGGGGAACCCAGAACTGGGCACAGTACTTCAGGTGTGGCCTCATCTGGAGGGCGAGGGGAAGGATCATCTCCCATGCTGGCAACACTCCAGCCCAGAATGAGATTCAGCTTCTTTGTGGCAAGGGCACATTGCTGACTCATTTCAGGGTGTCATGGTTTGACATGAGAGACATTTATGGAAGTGATGTAAAGCTTCCAACCACTAGAAAGCTGGACATGCCTCTGTGAAAAAAAAAATGTTAAAGATGAAAGAAACCAAGGCACGACTTCTTTTGCTTCCGGCCTGGGGACAGGTAACAGGGACCGCCGCCCCTCCCCCCCCCACCCGCAGGGGGCCGGGCCCCTGTCCGGGGGTGGGGGGAGGGGGGGGGGCGGTCCAGGGGACTCCGAGCCCCCGTTCTGGCCAGGCCGGGCCCCAGCAGCTGCCAGGCAGGAAGCGGGGCGAGGCTGCAGAGCCCTGGCTGGAGCAGGGCTGGCCTCTTGCTGTCAGGTCCCCTCCCCCCAGCACAGCTGAGACCAGAGGCAGCCCTGCAGCTGGAATTGAAGTCAGAGAAAACCAAAGACCGACCATGAAGCCGATCCTGACACAGCTGCAGCTCCTGCCACCAGTTACTGGCAGGTCAGATGATCATTTGCAGGGCCCAGGCTGTTAACCCTTTCAGTGCTTCAATCCTCCCTCAAGTGAGAGAAAGGAAAAAGATGCAAGCATGTAAAGGAACAACATGAAGACATCGAGGTCAGTGAAAAAAAAGTCAAGTCCCAGATGGGAGGGATGAGGAGATGCCTTGATTTTGGGGTTGAAATCCTCTTGTAAGCTATGCAGAAAGGACTCTTTTTCCTTATAATGCAGGAAACTATGGGGACATGAAGGGTTCAGTTTGATATTGAGCAAAGGCCTCCATGTTAAAGTAAACAGATGTTAAAATAGCTGTGATCCCATGAGAAGTTTGAACAGAGAAAGAGAGAAGAGTAGTCCTGTGTCCCCAGGAGAAGATGATCTCTGTTCCCAGGGATTAAGATGATTTTAGAAATACATAATGAGAACTTTTGCCTTTGAACAGCTCATCTTTAAAACAATACCCCATAAGTTGACATGGCCCATAGACAAGCTGTGGGAAGGCTTGTGGAAAATGGGAGGGACTTCATGACTGCAGATTTCCCAGGGCGGTTGCTAGTCATGGAAATTGAGAGCCACGAGAGGACTGTTTTTTCCTCTTGTGGAGAAGTCTCCATAACATTAACAAGAGGGACTTCTCTCCCTAAGTGAACTGAAGAAAGACTATTTCAGAGGTGGCAAACTGATTGGAAATTTTAGGTTTTGTTTCTTTACATTGTCAGTGGGAAGAAAAGGTTGTGGGGAGAGGAGAAGTGTTCTGAAGGGTTTGTTTTGATTCCTACTACGTTTTTTCCTTTCAGTTACTGTTAATGAAATTTTCTTTATACCCTCTTAAAGTTTTGAGCCTGCTTTGCCTTTCTCCTAATCCTATCTCACAGCAGGAAGTGAGTGCACTGGTGATTGGCCAGCACCGAAACCTGCCACACTCTCTGGTGCATTGAGCCAAGAAATCTTAAACTTGGGGAAATCTTAAATTGGTGAACCAAAACCCCTACACAGGGTAAAAGCTACTGTTCTTGTTGATAAATATTAGCAATAACAAATTAATTTTGGAATTTTTTCCTATACTTCTGTTACTTTGGAGACATTAATACTGTATTAAAGTAAAAGGATGCTGAACTGATTTAATTTGATATATCTGAAAGATAAAGAGCTTTATAAGTTTTCGTGGAGTTAAAGCAGAAAAATACTTTTCTGCAAGAACTCAGAAACCATTTATCAGCAAATGATTTTTTACTCTTTCATTGCTGGAGTCATAACAAAACAAATGCAAGATAGTTCTTTCTAATCAGAATTTGAAATTTTAACCACAGCATTGAAACTTTCATAATAATATGCAAATTCTTAAAAAATAATTTGATTTTCAAAGTCAGACAGATTTTTGATTTGGAAGATGTATAAAGAGGTGAGGCTGATCTAATAACTGAACAGATAAGCATGGAAATGACCAATGCATGAAATTGCTGTGTCTTCTCACATTTGCATATGCAGGATCATTTTAAAAACTAAGTATGTTTTAAACTGATCTACAAAATATCAACCTTGCTGCTCATGTAAATAAATTTTTAACAGATAACTTTAGTATAACTCCTAAACCTACCTTATTTTTGCACTGCTGTGTTTGAAGAACTGCAAGAATTTAGGTATCATGATATTGAGTGGTCGGTCCAATACATCACTATCTAAAATTTCAGCAGAATCTTCGCATATCTTCTGAAGAGCACCAAATGCACCCTGTTTAGAAACAAAATCAAACAAACAAACAGCAACAAAAAAAAAAACAAAAAAAACAAAAAACAAAAAAACCAAAGCAAAAGAAAATCTGTTACTTTACATTTTGAAGAAAGCAATATTTCAGGGTTTTTACAGAACAGGTAATTTTAGCAAAAGACCGCAGTAAATGTAGCTCATTAACTAAGTAAATGTAGCTAACTAAATATGGAGTTAAATTAAAATAGCCTTAAGGACTTTTTATTTAAGCACTTTATATTGTCATCTGTAAGATCTCAAGCTGGATGAGTCTATAACAACTAAGTGGTAATTTTAATTTTAACATTCATTTATTTAATCATATTTTTAAAAATGCTTAAAAGCAAGATTTTTTTAAAAATCAGACAAGATTTTTCTCCTCATAGCTTAAAACAGTTGAGTTGGTTTTTCTTTATTTTCCTTCATGAATACTGGAAAAAAAAGATTATATATGTGCATACATACCCACACAAAGTACTATACATATATATAGTATCTATGAAGAAAGGCAAAAAATAATCAAATTTACATGATAATACATCTCAAAATAAGCCTCCTTACCTCACAGGTATTGTAATCTTCAGAATCCAACAGTCTGCAAAGCTTTGGTAAGAGGTCAGGCCAATTCTGCAATTCCCCTTTTGAAGCAATGGTTGTTATCAGAATGCCTAAGTGAATCAGAGGAATAAAGGAAATGAGATCTCATATATCTTCACAGGTTTCACACCCTTTTTTCTCATTTTACTCTTCTCAAAGAACTAAGGAGTCAAGCATTTTCTTGTTTTATTAAGAGCTGTCAAGCATAAAAAGAGGAAGCACATTTAATTACAAAGGTTATTTGAAGGGCTTTGAAATGCAAAGGCAGGTTGCCCCTTCCTGCTATCATGAATGGCTCAGATGTGAGACATCAAGCACAAAGTAATTCCAGTTAAGGTAATAATCATGTCCAAACACTGCAGGGCAGGTTCTGCTCTAAGTTTACTAAAAACTGTACAAATCTTGACCTCCAGTAGAGTATCCATCTCAAGTCACTCCCTCTTTATTATGATACAAAGGTATGAACACGGGAAACTGTCATTCAATAAAATGATAACTCATTACTAAATTATGTGTTCATTACTTTACTATGCTTACACAAAACATTAAGGGCACATGCTGATGTCCAGGTGTTAGAAATATAAATTACTTGTTGGTAGAATTGCCTTGGTGAGGTTTAGGGCTTGACATGCTTCACTGATCTCAGACCTAGGGGGAGGTTACCAAAGCTTGGGGAGAAGGATGTATCCCCGATAGTGGACACAAAGAATGCAGAATTTACAGGCCATAAGGATATTTGGCAGAACTCCCAAGAAAAGGAAGAAACTAATAAAGCCAGCTCAGCAACTGTGTTGAAATCAGCTCTGACTGGGTAAAAGGTAATTCTGGCAGAGGGAGACTGTGACCACTGACTCACAGACCACTGACCCAAGAAACCCACAGACCCAAAAGAAGAGGAAGATTGAGCATATGGACTAAATAGCATGAGAAGCAAGAGAACCATTAACTAATAGATGGTCGAATACTAATTAATAAAAGAACTGGGTAGCTTGTAGACAATGAACATTAATGCCACTGTTTGCTAAAAATGTATAAATAACATAAAGCTTTGATGATTGTGGAGCCAACCTTTTGTGGGTTACCACCCAGCTCCCTACTTTGTGCCTACTACAACAAAGAAATAGAAGTACCTCGTCCTCGGTGTGTGAATTAGTGCTGTGCACAGGGCAGAAGGCCCATGTTCAGGACAAAAATTCTAAGACAGATACCTACTAACAGCTTACACACTATGGCAGGTCATCCAGTGATCAGCTGTAGGGGTTGGCTGATTCAGATCCAGCAGAGAGGATGGCCAAAAGAGTCACTTCCATTTTTAACACATACAGAAATGCCAGGAAAAGCTAATTAGGTGACAGGAATGGGGAAAGCTGCTTATAAACTAGGACTGACTATGAGTCCATTTTGCCTCAACTAATAATCTCCCAAATGAAAAGTGATGAAAAAAAACTTTCCTAAGCTTTTTCATTGAGCTAATCACCATATATCCTCTTTTTTTGAAATAAAATGTTCAAATTGTTATTAAATATACAAGAATACAGAACAATATTACACAGAAACCTCCTAAATAGATGCATTTATTTCCTGGTAAGTTTGTGAGTCCTAAACATATGCAACTGTATTTTTTGAACTTGAATCCATATTTCAATGTTGGCACAAGGTTTTTTAAAACCTCTACCACATAGCACAAAGAAGTTTCACAATGTTAGTCATTTCAGTGTTTAAAAAAAAGAAAACCTAAGTAAGGATACAACAATGTGTAGTTATCATTTCATCTCCAATCACAGTCCTAAAATAGACTCTATTGACATCTTTATCATCCTCAGTGAGGTGACTTCTGAGAATGGGATTAATCAGTTTGCTTCCATCTTGATTAAAAGGTATCAGCTTTTCTTTGGGTAACATCAGATGCTAAAGACTACAAATGCTGCATTACTTCTTCCCTGATGCTATTTTGATGTAGTTGCTCATCCTCCTCTCAGAACTCCAGAGATCTTATTTGTGATTGGCTCATGAGGTTGTCAGTGCTTGAACAGCAAAAATACATATGCATCTGTGGTGATTTGGCCCTGTCTGGATGCCAGGTACCCACCAAAGCCACTCTATCACTCCCCTCCTCAACTGGACAAGGGAGAGAAAATATAACAAAAGGTTCATGAGTTAAGGATGGGGAGAGATCACCCACTGATTATCATTATAGGCAAAACAGACTCGACTTAGGGAAATGAGTTGAATGTATTAACAGTCAGAACCAGAGCAGGATAATGAAAAGTAAAACAAATCCTAAAAAAGACCTTCCTCCTTCCCAGGCTTAACTTTATTCCTGATTCTCTATCTCCTTCCCCCCACAGCAGGGCAGGGAGATGGAGCATGAGGGTTATGATCAGTTCATCACATGTTTCTGCCACTGTTTCCTCCTTAGGTAAAGGAGTCCTTCCCCTGCTCCAGCATGGAGTCCCTCCTACAGGAGGCAGTCCTCCACAAACTTCTCCAGCACGAGTCCTTCCCATAGGCTTCAGCCCTTCACAAACTGCTCCAGTGTGGATCCTCCATGGGATCACAAGTCCTGCCAACAAACCTGCTCCAGCATGGGCACCCCTTCCCACAAGGCCCAGGTCCTGCCAGAAGCCTTCTCCAGCATGGGATTCCCACAGGGTCACAACCTTCTTTCAGGCATCCACATGCTCCAACATGGGCGTCCTCCATAGTCTGCAGGTAGATCTCTGCCATGGGCTGCAGGGGCACAGCTACTTCACCATGGTCTGCACTATGTGTCAGAGACTGAAATAGTTCATGCCTCAAATGCTGATATAAAGTTTTGCCCATTATAGCAAAACTGTATGAAGAAGCCCACCCCTGCCTAAAAGATGTCTGACTGGGACTTGAGACTGAAAGTCAAACTGATGATTAGAAACCCATTCTTCAGTCATCTCAGGCCCAGGGAGAAGGAAACAAATAAACTAGGAAAAGAATGAGAGCCAAACCCAGCAGCCATGCTGAGAGTCACCTCTGGCTGGGTTTGGGGTGGGGGAGACCACAGCCCACAGAAGCCAGGTTTACACAGCCTCCCCCTGAAACGAAGAGGGGGAAGGTTTCAGGTGTGTGGGTGTAACCTCTGGTCAGAGTCAGTGAATACCCACCCTCCCTTACACAAACTGGCCCAGTTGTGGAACCCCCAACCCCACAGGCCACATCCACGGAACATTCACGTGAGAGGCAGCTGAGGGGGTGTCATAATCCATCAAAGACATCTCAAAGCACTACCCAGAGGCTTTGCACCACAGGATTGCATATGATGCAACAAATCCAGTCTGCTGCAAGAAACTGTTCCCCCCTCCAGGGGAAGTACCTGGACATTGCCACCTGGCCCGAGTGTATATTAACCCATTGGATTCTATGCTTTTCAGGGGGACCTTCACCCTCAAGAAGACCAGAAGAAGAGGATCAACAGGATGCCATCAGGATTTATGGAGTGGTGATACTTTCTACTTAGTCTGTCTCCACCTTACTCTTCCCCCCCCCCCCACCCCCCAAGCTCCTCTTTCCCTATTTCTTTCTCTTCCCTTTTCTTTCCCTCATATTTACTATCAAATAAAATCCATACTATTGTCACTGGCATATGGTCTCATTTGCACCTTAATTTGGACTGAGGAAGACCTAAATAATTTTAATAACCAGACCCTAACACTATGGGCTGCAGAGGAATCTCAGCTCCAGTGCCTGGAGCACTTCCTCCCCCTCCTTCTGCACTGACCTTGGTGTCTGCAGAGTTGTTTCTCTTACATATTCTCGCTCCACTCTTCTCTGACTGCAATTACATCTGTGCCATAACTCTTTTCCTTCTTAAATGTTACTCCAGAGGCATTACTACCATCACTGATTGACTCAGCACTGGCCAGCAGCAGGTCCATCTTGGAGCCACTTGGCATGGGCTCTGTCAGACATGAGGGTCAAAGAAGTCACCCCTGTAACCCCACTCGCTACTAAAACATGGCCATGCAAACCCATTACAGCATCTGAAAGAACAGCTATGCCAACTTATATGCTAACGAGGAAGTCTAGGCAGGTAGCAATATGTGGGATCTCAGCACAGCAGTCCTGATGTGCAGAGTCACCGAGACAACCCTTGGGAGGTCCTGGAACGTGGCCAGAAGTGTCTGGTGGTTGGACTTTGATCCTGCACAGGAAATGACACCTGTATGAGGATGGGAGGATCACACGGGGATAAATGGTGAAGAGATAGATTAATTATAGTGTGAAACACAGGTTTTAGAATCTCGGTACAGGGGGGTTCCAGGGAGACAAGATGGAGGAATTAGGGCGTGTCCTGTCCTTCTTCTTCTTCTTCTTCTTGTCGTCCATCTTCTGTGGTGGTGGTGGCACTTTGAGATTGGTTCTTACTAAATGTGCACTTGTCAATAAGGGTGAAAGGTATTGGGGAGAAAAGGTAAATATCTTATACGTAGTTTTGGGTATAAAGATAAGTGACCGCCCCGAGGGCACGCAGTGTGCTCATGGCTAACGTGCTGTGCGGACCTCTGTCGGGCCGAGAGAAGATATTGTAGATAAAAATTAATAAACACTGAAGACCGAAAAAACCTGAAGACTCCTTTCGTCCTTTGGAGCGCGGGCTGCCCCAAGGCCATTCCGAGCCTTTCCAGGCCATCAAAAACAGCCGAGAACGGGACAGCAATTTTTTTACACCTAGATAGTATGAAGAGACCAGTGAGTACTGGACCAACCTCACTATTGGAACACAAACCTACAAGGATTCAATACTTAATTACTTCACACAGCAGGGTAAAAAATACTAAATAGCAATTCTTATAATGTAAGCTTACAGTTAATCAGTTGGTACACATCTTCAGAGTTCATATATGCTTGAATAATCCTTGCCAAGACCACTTGAAGCTCAACTGTAATAGAGCTACTAATCCACAAATGTTTCCTCAAATCAAACAATAAAATGATCAAAATGAAAATGCTCAAAATAAATATGCTTAAAATACAGTCCCTCCCCCAGCTGTCACCACCATGAAACGACCCTAAAGGTGCAATCCAAAAACAGCTGTAA